AAAGTATGACCCGGAGGATTGTTATTGGCTGACAAGATTCTACATCCAAGTTTTAGTGTTGTGTCTTGTTTCCACCATTCACCATCCGGAGCCCTCTGATTGGCCGCTGCGTCAGGGCGCTGTGAGGCCGGGCCGCACTGTCGCTATGTGGGGAAAATGTGAGGGGTTTGAAGCCGGTTGTGTGTCGTGACTGAGCCCAGTGATAATTCACAGACAGAGCCCGAGCCAAGGGAAAAATGAGCGTGTTTAAGAGGTGCTCCTAAGTCTTAAAACTGTTGGATTACTTTATGGATCCGAGTGTCCTCGTGGGGGGTCCAGCTGGGAGTCAAGAGCACTGTTTCCACCCGCTCTGCTTGGCCCTACTCTACTAGACTGGACTGGACAACTCTACTCTACTCTACTCTATTCTACTCTACTCTACTCTACTCCATAGTACTCTACTCTACTCTACTCTACTCCATAGTACTCTACTCTACTAGACTGGACTGGACTGGACAACTCTACTCTACTCTACTCTACTCTCTACTCTACTCTTCTCTACTCCATAATACTCTACTCTACTCTACTCTACTCCATAGTACTCTACTCTACTCTACTCTACTCTACTCTACTCTACTCTACTCTACTCTACTCTACTCTACTCTACTCTACTCTACTAGACTGGACTGGGCCGGACTACTCTACTCTACTCTACTAGACTGGACTGGGCTGGACTACTCTACTCTACTCTACTCTACTCCATACCACTCTACTCTACTCCATACTACTCTACTCTACTCTACTCTACTCCACACTACTGTACTCTACTCTACTCTACTCCATACTACTCTACTCTACTCTACACTACACTACACTACACTACACTACACTACACTACACTACACAACACTACACTACACTACACTACACTACACTACACTACTCTACTCTACTCTACTCTACTCTACTCTACTCTACACTAAAATACTCTACTCTTCTCTACACTACACTAAAATACTCTACTCTACTCTACTCTACTCTTCTCTACACTACACTAAAATACTCTAATCTACTCTACACTACACTAAAATACTCTACTCTACACTACACTACAATACTCTACTCTACTGGGCTCTTGCTAAAGCTGGAGTTTCCCCCGTTAATGAAGGTCTCTGATTGGTCAGTCCTCTGGCTCATATCTGAATTTACAAAGACAAAGTAAGAATGTAAACACCAGGACCAAAGAGAGCACCAAAAACAAAACAAAAATTGTCCAAAATGCAGAGTATGACGGAAAGAGTTACTGATATAGAGGAGTTTATTTTTCAATAGGAGCCAGTCATTATTAGGCTTCATTGAGCTAGCAGGTTAGCAGGTTACTTTTACGTATGTATGTATGTATTGCATGCTTTCTTTACTTTTTTATCTTTCATGCCTGTGAAGCACTTTGAGCAGCCATAAAGCTGACATTGACATTGACAAGTTGACATAAATCTGAAATCTTTATTGACAAAACAAAGTCATTCATAGCAAAGTGTATTATACAGAACATCAAGGAAGTGCAAAGAAGTCTTTCTAATCTAATTCCTTTTTTTAATTTCACATTATTCTGACCAAGTAGGTGATATTGGATAATTTCCCAAGGCACAACAAATAGCATGTCAAGGCCCGCGAACGTACCACGGCCCACTGGTTGAAAAACACCCCTCTATGATCCATTATCTCGGCTCATATTCCTCACCTAGATATCTCCAGCATCGAGTGAGTCAGGCTATTACAACACTGTGGTCTAATGCTATATCGCTTAGTTCTACGACGTCTCTGTCTTTATCATGACCATCTTTTTTCCTTAAATAGCCAGGGCATTGTGTGCAAACCGCTCCGACCTGCGCTGTAACCTGACTCTGCACATATGAGCGAAGCAGCCGTGATTTACTGTAGGTGTAAAGGCATATTCCATAAACATTGACATACACGCAGCAGCTGCCCAGAGGCCCTCTGTCTTTGGTCAGAAGTGGGAGTCTCCACCTGCTCTCCCTGTGTGACCTGTCCATCAGCGCGCACCACACACACATATACACACACTCTGTACATTATAGTTAGTAATATAGTTACACCTGCAGTCTCCGGCGATGACACTTTTGACAACCGAGGCTTCGACATTTGTCACATGTTTTGTGCAAATGAATCTGCAAAGTCACATTCACAGCGGACTCCAGGGTAGAGCTTGAAATAACAAATTAGAGAGATTGGTTTACAGGTGCCTGAGTCGACAGCTTTGCTTACACGGCATGAGCTAAACTGGGCTTTGAGAAAAGAAAATTATTATTATCATTGTTATTTATTTATTTTATTTATTGTACTGCCCCCAGAGAGTTGGTGGAAGTGGAAGTGGTGAGGGGAGCTATTGTACATGTTTTTAGTGGCAGAAGAAACTGGAGCACTCAGGGGAATTCTATGTAGACACAGGGAGAACATGCAAACAATACACAGTAAGTCTTGATATCTGATTAGTTGGTAAATATCTGATTAGTTGGTAAATAACATATTCATTCAATTAAAGCCCAAACATTTTTAGTAAGAGTGACACTTAAGTTCATCAGAGTTGTCCATTGGCTGACCACAGAGATATCCACAATTTGACAGAGCTGAAGTTGGCTGGATGACATTGTGAACTGCTGTTTATGATCTCAAAGAATACCCTGTGTTAGCCGCAGAGAACCATATGAAATACACGGTCGAGTAAAGAGTTTAAATATACAGCCAACACCTTCTCGACGTTTACTCCAAAATCAGAGATACTTTGCATTTAAAATGTTTTTCAAGAATGGGCTTTGAACATATCTCGCCCCCTCAGGAGATTGGCTCTTTCCCTCCTTTGAAGCAGGTTCTGAATCAGGAGAATTCATTATTCTTTATCATGAACATAAATCGGGAAAAGAACTTTAGTAGAAGTTAGTAGAGCAATGGCCTTTGAGCCTGAAGGTCGTGGGTCTCGAGCCCATCATGAGACCTTCTCCACCGACTCCCACTGATGTCTGCTGTCGTTGTGTCCTTGGGCAAGACACTTAACCCCACTTAGCCTGAAACCCCCGCTGAAAGATCAAAGCCTGTGTCGTCATCTTTGAATTTCAATGTTTTTTTCTGGATGAGAAGTTTATTGTGTGAACCTCTATCCAACTGTATCAAAGTGCTGAACAAATCAAGATATCATTAAAATCATAAATAATCACAGTACATTAAAAAGATAAAAATACAAAATCCCTGTACAAATAGCAAAGCAAGCAAGCAAAGTTTATTTATATAGCACCTTTCTCAGACAGAAGGTCACAAAGTGCTTCACATCAAAAACAAGCAATAATTAAAAACACAAGAAAAAATTACACAATCAAACAACAGTGGAGACAGTCATATCAGCCCATAAAACCGTACTTTCAAAACGCTCGACTGAACAAGAACGTCTTGAGTTGGGATTTAAATGTATCAACAGAGTCAAGTGATCGTAGAGAGAGCGGGAGATCGTTCCAGAGTCTAGGTGCGACAGCCTGGAAGGATCGGTCTCCTCTGGTTCGATAACGAGTGCGAGGGACCATCAAGAGATTTTTATCTACAGACCTCAGAGAACGAGAGGGGACATAGGGCTGAATCAGATCTCTGATGTAAGAAGGCGTCTGACCATATAAGGATCTAAAAGTCAGCACCAAGATTTTAAATTGAAACCGGTAAGACACCGGCAGCCAGTGGAGGGCTTTAAGAATTGGGGTAATATGAGCCCTTCTATTAGTGCAAGTTAAAATCCTCGCTGCAGAGTTTTGAACCATTTGGAGACGAGACAGCTCTTTTTTGTTTAGACACGAAAATAAGCTGTTGCAATAGTCTAAACGTGACGACACAAAAGCATGAATAATGAGCTCCAAATCATTACGTGACACAATTTTCCTCAGTTTAGAGATGTTCCTCAACTGAAAGAAACAATTTCTACTAAGCTGTTTAGAGTGGTGATCTAATGACATGTTTTTGTCAAAAATCACACCAAGGTTCCTGAGACTCTGTGCAGCGGACTGGCTGAGATCTCCCAAATACTGGTTTAACCCTGGGATAAGGTCATCAGGAGCAATCACAAGGGTTTCTGTTTTATCAGCATTAAGCTGCAGAGAATTTTTACTTAACCATAGTTTTATATTTTTCAAACAGTTGACTAAAGTCAGTTGACAGTTGACAGTTGACTAAAGAGTAGATGATGAGCCTGTTTCACTTAAATATAGGTTCAATCCTCAAAACCTTTAGCAGCGGCATTATCATTTCTCACATGGGTCAGACGATCCTAACTTGACAATGTCTCTTTATGGCTCCGGACTTTATCCTCACCGCTGTCAGACTGTACAATAAGTCACTTTAAAGCCTAGCGTACATGGACAGAGTAACTGGAGACAACTAGTTGCAAGGCGGCTTTTGGCAACTGAGAGTAGATGATGGAGAAGTTGCCGAAATCGGTCGATGTGAGCGCTCTTACAACTGGAGATAAACAGTCGATCTCCGGATTCAGTCAGTTGCCCGTGTTCTACTTTTCGGCAACTAGTCGTCCTCAGATCCAGAGATATCACCCGATGTGCGCGCTCCAACAACATGTGTGTATTGCGTGTATTGCGCCCTCTACAGTTTATGTCAGAAAACACACTGTAGTTGAGGCCATTTGCTGTCGATGTACACGCTGTTATTCCCGAGACTGGCCTGCTACTAGGAGTTGCCCGTTTTCGCCAGATTGTCGATGTGTGCGGGGCAGCAACTCATAGGCGACGGATATAATCAGTTGCCAGTCCGATGTCACTAATGTACTAGGACTGAACAAACCCTGCACTGCTATTGCCACTCTTTTACTGTACATAATTATATCCTGCACACTTCTGTCTTTTGCACAACCTTAGTGACTACCCATGCCAAATGTGACATGTACAATTCTCCAGTGTGAGATCAATAAAGTCTGTCTTATCTGATCTTATCTTATCTTTACCGTTTTGCAGGAAGGAACGAACTCATTGCCCGATACATCAAGCTCCGCACTGGGAAGACGCGGACCAGGAAGCAGGTGAGCAGAGCAGACTATTTAAAACTTGCCCAGAAAACCCTGTCCTGTTGAGTGATGCTTCAACACCCCTCGTCCGTACCCCCACCCCACCCACCCGCCCTTCCTCCTCCTCTGTAAGTTTGGCGGTCAGGACATGACGATAGATTTAGGGCTGGGGACCAATGCACAGATGCTATAGGATCATGTGTCGGGTTGTTTCTTCGCCACCTCATGCATCCAGTGCTTGTTAGAGGCAGAACGTGGTCAGGGGAGTTGGCCGATCATGGGGTCAGGCTCAGCCAAGATGGGGATTTGGAACCCTATCCCTTGTATGGTACCTGATACAGCGGGCCTTATGTATAGGCAGTGATGGATGTGGAGAAAAGGGGTTCCCCGCTAAGTCCTTTGGCAGAGTCCCCTGTGGGAAGGGTGGCTGGTGGGCGGCGTTAGCTGGGTTGCTGCAGTTTTAACTGGGTGAAAGAATAGAGGGACACCTGCCGGTACACGGAGGTCCCTTGTCTATCGCAGGCTTTAGGCATAACCGGATAGCGCTCTAGCATCTCAGCAAGAAGGGCCTGGGTCTGAATCCGGGTCGGAACAGGGCCTTTCTGAGTGGAGTTTGCATGTTCTCCTCCGTCCCCTACCGCTAAAAATATGCACAATAGGTATGAGTGTAATGAGAGAGTGAATGGATGGTGTTGGTTGGAGCTGTGGTAGGGGCCAGTGTGTTCGGTGTCTCACTTCTGTCATTACTGTGTTGAGAGAATGAATCAATATCTGAACTCTGAACATTTTTAAGAGCTTTGGGTGACCTTGGTCTGTAAAAATCCGCTGTATAAATAGAGATTACTTACTAGATTACTTACGTTCTAAAAATTATCTGCAATAAGCAAAATCCGCGAAGTTGGGGCTCTACAGTATGTTTTAAGGCTGTAAAACCTGCGCGCACACTTTATACACTTTTCTAACCACCTGAAGTAACGACTGCTGAAGTGAGAGAGACCAGAGATATGAAAAACCTGTTGGTTGTGGGTCTGAGCGCTGCTGCAGCTGTCAAAAGCCGGGCGTACAGTGTAAAAAACAGCTGCAGAGGACACTGAGGGGCAGGAGCTTGATAAAGGGCTACGGGAATGTGACGGATAAACAAAGAAGGACCTAAAAGCACAACTGCAAAAATTATATAATTTAATAAAGTGAAAAATTAAACCAGGAACAAGACATGGAGAAAAAAACAACAATGGATCGACAGCAAGAGGACAAGAGCACAGGGTCTAAACATACACAGGGAGACACAGCGCGGGGAAAACACTCAACAAGACAGACAAAACTCAAACACAACAAGAGAAAAAATATCTATATCCAAATAAAACCAGATAAAAACAAAACAAATCCACACCATGACAGGGAAGACCGCAGTAGTCCTCTGAACCGATCACTGCGACGCACACACGCCACAAAAGTTTTCTTCTGACTTAAAATACAGGTAACCGCCATGATATACTGGCGGTTATATGATGCAAACTTGTACACAAACAAACAAGCAAGATTTCACTATTGCTTTTATAGCCGTGGAATTGGTTTAAAAGCTAAAATTTGGTTATAATAACTATAATAATCTTCATTTGGGACATATTCCTGGACGGCAGACTGAGCTAACATTGCCCACAGATGCATGAGTACAATAATATGAATTGGTTTGTGGGGAAGATTGGGAGAGGGGACGTTTTTCGAGGCCATGCAGGCTGTTTAGACAAGAGAGAAATGTCTGAAAGAAATGTATAATGTGATTTAAAGATAGTGATTGGCTACTTTTGTTGTGTCAGGTGTCCAGCCACATCCAGGTGTTGGCTCGGCGAAAGGCCCGAGAGATCCAGGTGAAGCTCAAGGTACGCTACGTGAGTTAACCTTTTTTATATTTTTACACACACTCATTCATTACTAAAGTAGGTAGAGAGAGATGAGCTACTGTACTTGCTGGACTATTAGCCACACTTGTATAGACAATTATTTTAACCGTAGACTTTTTATAGATTGACAATTAGTGCTCATGAACAAAACTTTCCGTTGACTTTTATTGAAAACTAAACTCCTCAATAACCGTTTGTGGCACACTCACCATTTTGTCCATAGAAATCCGTGGTCTATGATCCTATTTTGATATTGTGATAATGTCTTTGTAAATCCTGATTTGAGCCATATAAGAATTGACCAATCAGATGCCTTCATTTTCGTTGCAAAACTCCAGCGCTCCTTAGCAAAAGTTCTGCCCCAGTTACGTTGCAAAGCTAACACATGCAGAAGAAATGCCCATACTGTATAAGGAAACGGTACTCAGCTAGCTTGTGTTCAAATCGGCTTCTTCCGCATTAAAGCTTCACTAACTGACTTTGGGATTTCGAAGCAGCAGTTCCGCTGGCCTTGCACTTTCTCCTGCCCTGGAAAACAAGGAAGCTTCTGGTTAGCTCCGCCACTTGTAGTGCTAACTCAACTGTCTATGCTAACGACGGACCTGTAGATTTCTCAAGAAAGCGGGGGCCAGTGGTGCGCTGTGATTGGTCACAATCTGGTCCCGAAAAACATTCTCTTCCTTGTTTCATCAAAACTCGATCTAAAATATAATGTCACGCCAGCACAACCCTGCGCTACTTTTTCTTCTAAAGGACGTAAATCCTTTTTACGTCCGTGGGCGGCACGGTGGCTGAGTGGATAGCACTCTCGCCTCTCAGCAAGAAGGTCCTGGGTTCGAATCCCGGTCGGACCAGGGCCTTTCTGAGTGGAGTTTGCATGTTCTCCCCGTGTCTGCGTAGGTTTCCTCCGGGTACTCCGGTTTCCCCTACCACTAAAAATATGTACAATAGTTCTGGCATGCGCCTCCTGTACTGGCCCCGCTCCCGTCTCTGTGTGGAGTGAGAGACAAATGCCCAAAATAAAAAAAAATAATAACAATTGTAAACCGCTTTGAGACTCAGATCTGCAGTGAAAAGGCGGTATATAAATAAAGATTACTTACAGTGCACTACATGGACATGGATAGCACTTTCGTAATGAATACAAAAATAAAGTCAGTTAGTGCAGCTTTAAAACTAACACTATGGTGATGTCACACTCGGTCAATCCACTCCAAATAAACGCTCTATGGTTTTGATGCAGCGTTGACTCGTTATGGACAAAGCTAACGGTAAATAAAACAACAAAATCTGAGGAGGCAAAAAATAGCTCACGTTAGCTTCCATGTGGGGACCAAAGGAGCATCCTATAGCTACTAAAACTAGTCAAAATAACACGTCCAAAAATTCTACAACATTAAAATTACATACATTAGCTGCGTCGCTAAATAGGCCGCATATATAGTTGCGGCTTGTAGTCCAGCAATCACGGTAATAAGAAATATCTCATAACTGTGGTTTTATGGGTAAGCTAGTGGATTAGCTGTTGGACCCAAGACCAAGAAATATCCCTCCTGGTTTTGTCGCATCATAAATCCACCTTTATGGTCCGTTCATTCTTTTTCAAATGTCCTGCAATTGTGTGATCGTGTCATGTATTTCCTTCCCTGCAGCTAAAGTGCCTCAGTAAGTATTTTGCGGGTGCTATGCTAAGTGTGAGACTCGCATCTCGGTGGCTCCAGTCCTTTCTCAGTTTACATTTCTCATCCACACACTCGCCCCGACAGACACAGGACTCTCTCGCCGCTTGGACGCAGGCCACGGTCTGAGTGCTGGTCACAGGGTTGGCCTCTCTGATAGACTTTGGTGTAACTGAGAGGCCGGCCACATGCACTATCCATATTTGAGCTATGCCCTTGTGTTGGCCCGTCCGGAGCAGAAGAATGCGCCTGGTGGCCTTCCCGTTACGGCTGTGGTGGTCGTTTGTGATTTGGAAACTGCTGAAGGATTCACAAACAAGAGCCGTATCGTTTACACACGAGGAGTTGAATTGCACTCACTGAATAAATTTAAGCCTCCCAAAAATACATGTAATAATCATAGACTGTATAAGGATTGACAATGCTAACCCGCTAGCTCATTGAAGCCCAATAGGGAAGTGCTAATGGTGAAGTTTGGCTCCAACTCGCTCTGGCTCCTATTGACCTGCATAGAACAGTAAACTCCTCCATTTTGGCTTAAACGTCCTTGGTTTAGCCTGGTTCTTATAGTGTGATGTTATGTTTTCACTACAATTAGACTATAGGCGATATTTACCATGCAAACACCCATACTGACATGAAAACAATTTGGGTGTTTCTTATGTATTGTAGTTGACGTAATTCAAACCTTCTGATATGTTTTTGTGTCAGTGGGTCTGAATAGGTAATAATATGTAAATATCTGTATTCAAAAATGTATGCAATAGAATTTTTTGCAACATTTTGAGATAGTTAGAGACTGACACTTTGCAAAAAGAAGCATCAATTTTCAATAAATACTTCTCTCCTGTGATTCTGGTGTTTAAATTGTGATATTACGTATTTACTACACTGTACATTATATCTATCTATTAGGGGTGTAACGGTACGCTAAAATCGTATTCGGTTCGGTACAGTGTCTTGGAGAGCTCGGTTCGGTTAATTTTCGGTACAAAAAAATAAGAAATTACAAAATCTTTATTTTGAAAAGCTGCCAATACACAATAGAATTTTTGCATAAAATAAATAAAAGCGACCCATTTGGGTGATATTTTTCAATAAATTGCACACTTATAATGAACTACACACATTTTGTAACATTTAAAATAAAAATTAAAGTGACCCATTTGGGTCATATTTTAAATAAATTGCACTCTTTATGAAGAAATACACATTTTTAAAATGTAAATACTGCAACTAGTTAGGACCTGAAAACGTTTAACACTAGCAACAGCTTCAGCTTGTATATCAACAAAACTAACTATTCAAGTTTAAAGTTTTTGGCTAAAAAGATTAACCTATCCACATTTTCTGAAGAGAGCACAGATCTGGTTGCAGTGACAATATCTCCAGCAGTAGAAAAAACCCTTTCACTTGGAACAGAGGTAGCTGGAATAGAGAGGTAGCGCTTTGCTAGTTTTGCAATGTGCGTGTATGAGGCCTCATTGCTTTTCCACCACAGAAGAGGGTCAGCTTCAAGGGAGAGGCACCCTGAAGCTCTGTACCTAACCATTTCTTCTTGGACCTGCTCCAAAAGGGGTACCTGTACCTTGCTACTTCCCACCTGTCCCTGGAAAAGTTCACCAAAGAGTTCAGTCATTACAGACTTCTTAGCTGGAGGTGATGAGGAGGATGTCCCAGGAGATGAAGATGCTCCAGCTGTTATCTTGTTGACATCCTCTGTCTGCAGAACACATAAGGCATTTTTTTTAATAGGTAAATTCACATTTTTATTGTAAATAAAAAGTTTATTAGATACAATACCTGTTCTTCTGTGGTGATTATTTCTGTTGTGAGGTCAGTGAATATCCTCTCTCGTTCATCATCATCTATATGAGGCGGGGCTTTAAATCTGGGGTCTAGTGCAGTGCACTTGTGCAAAAAGTCACAGCATGTAGAGTATCTGTCCTGCAGATTCTTTGTGACTGCTACCTTAACCTCCCTCACAATTGGACGGTCCTCTTGTTTTGGTGCCATAGAGTGGAGAACAGTGGCTTTCAGTGGGAGTATCATTGACACTGATGCTTTTGTTTCAGTGCTCATTAGAGTTGTGATGGTTTTTAGAGGTTTGAGCACTTCAATAAGTTCCTCTGCCATAGTCACTTCCTCATCATTGAGTGTGTAAATGTCTTTGTTCTTGAGAGCTTTCTCCTTGAGTGCTGAATATATAGCGGCTTGCTGTTCAAGGTACCGTTCAATTATGTCATAACTAGAGTTCCAGCGCGTGAGAACGTCTTGAATGAGTGAATGCTTTGGAATATTCAGCATTTCTTGCTTGCACTCCAGTATGTGGGCAGCTGTGGTACTTCTATGAAAAAATGTCACAACTTTTCTGACTTTGCCCAATAATCTGGATACCTGGTTAATGGCTGTTGCTTTTTGGGAAGCTAAATTGATGGTGTGTGCAAAGCAACCAATCTGAGGGCCCAGTCCTGCTTCTTGTATTGCATTTACGATGTTACGTGCATTGTCTGTTGTAACAGGAATTGTAGTCCCAGGCCTCTCCAGCTTCCATTCATGCACCGCCTCCTTTAGGTGCTCCGCAAGGTTTGTGCTTGTGTGCTGTTCATACACGGGCCTCGTTTGCAAAACGTGACTCACCATCTCCCAATGTGGCGTCATGAATGCACAGTTACAGTTAAATAGCTCTCTGTTGCTCGCGATGTCCATCCATCTGTTGTAAGTGATACAGTAGGCGCACTCGATAGCTTGTTGACCACATCAGTTTGAACTTTTTCATATAGTGCTGGTATAACTTTTTGGCTGAAGTGCGGACGCGATGGGATATTGTAGCGAGGCTCAAGACTTTTAATCATATACTTAAAGCCAGCGCCTTCAACAACTGAATATGGACGCAAATCGGTAGCGATGAAAACACCTATACCATGCGTTATTGCTTTCGCTCGATCCGAAGTACTTGACAGGGGTTGTTTAAATGCCGACGTTAGCGGTACTTGCACAAGGCTGCTTTTCTTCTTAGTAGAAGTGATATTTACATTCGGATGATGCCGTTTTAAGTGCGTTAACATGTTAGATGTGTTGCCTGCCGCATACCCGATCTCCGTGGAACAATGTCGGCATACAACTTTGGATTTATCCACTCGTCTATCCCCGTTATGTATTTGAACAGGGAAGCCAAAGTGTTCCCAAACAGGAGACCGTAGTGAGGTGGGAGGGTCTTCAAGCTCTGGCTTCTCTTTCGCTGTTGCCATGATGCCATTTCTCACGGCTACTCGTGCACATAGACTTTATAAGCTTGTGCAGCTCTACTGTGCGTCACTCAATAGCGTCCGTGCGGAAACTCGCCTAGGAACTTTTTTACCGCTGCGCTTAATATCACGCTAATAATAAATGTATATTATTTAATGAAAAAAATACACCGAAACGGTACGCAAGTGGACCGAACCGAACAGGCCACATCGAAACGGTTCAATACATCCCCGTGAACCGTTACACCCCTACTATCTATATATATCTACAGCATATTTATCGTACATATCTTTTTGTCAGAATCATGACGGGAAACGATTTGGGTGTTTCTCATGTAGTTGATGTAATTCAAGCTTTCTGATATGCAGGTGTCAGTGGATCTGAATAGGAGTGGGCTAAAAATATGCTTTTAGATAATCTATGTTCAGAAAATATACAATATCATTTTTTGCAATGTTTTGTGATAGACTGATGCATTGCAAAAAGAAGCATACATTTTCCATTATCAATAAATCCACAGCCCAGACTTCCCTCTTCACACACATTTCCTGCATCTCATATGGGATAATCCTGAGGCGCCCAGACCCAGAGAAACACAGTTCCTCCGTGTCCTGGGTCTGACTGAAACACCTCCTGAAGTGAGGCGTCCAGGAGGCATCTCAAACTGATGCCATTTCAACTGGCTCCTCTCGACGTGGAAAAGCAGCAGCAGAAGCAGTCTCCTCACTGAGAGCAAGACCTGAGAGACTTGAGGAAAGACCTCTGCAGCTGGACAGGGAGACCTTTCCTCGGTCAAGCTCCATCAACACGGTCAAAAGCCTTTTTTTCCCCCTGAAACATGTCAAATTGTTCGGAAATACATATAAAACGTATCAAATTGAAAATATAAAAGGCTCTATACAATAACTTTATCTCTGTTGTTTTATCTGCGGCATGGTGGCTGAGCGGTTTCTCAGCAAGAGGGTCATGGGTTCGGGCTCCACCCATTTTCTTAAGTCTCCAGGTTGAAACTGGGCTCACTTGAGGAAATGAGTGGAGTCTGGTGTGCTCCTGACTAGTTGGAATTAAAACCTGAGGACTGAGATGACACCCCTGCTGAAAAGGCATCGACGTCAGGGAGTCCACATATTCAAAAATGATCACATCGAACTCAGCGCCGACTCAACCCGAGTCCTGATGACATCCTGCAGCCCTGGAACATCAGCAGCTCCTCATGCCATCATTATAGGCCACATTCAGTCTGCGTATGCTGCTCTTTTTATAGTGTTTCCACTAGGGGGCAGTGGACATGGGGGTGCAGTATGTGGCAGTAGACATGGTGCTAAAGTATGTGGCAGTATACATGGGGGTGCAGTATGTGGCAGTGGACATGGGGGTACAGTATGTGGCAGTGGACATGGGGTTACAGTATGTGGCAGTGGACATGGGGTTACAGTATGTGGCAGTCGACATGGGGTTACAATATATGGCAGTGGACATGGGGGTACAGTATGTGGCAGTGGACATGAGGGTACAGTATGTGGCAGTGGACATGGGGGTACAGTATGTGGCAGTCGACATGGGGGTACAGTATGTGGCAGTCGACATGGGGTTACAATATATGGCAGTGGACATGGGGGTACAGTATGTGGCAGTCGACATGGGGGTACAGTATGTGGCAGTGGACATGGGGGTACAGTATGTGGCAGTGGACATGGGGGTGCAGTATGTGGCAGTGGACATGAGGGTACAGTATGTGGCAGTGGACATGGGGGTACAGTATGTGGCAGTGGACATGGGGGTACAGTATGGGGCAGTGGACATGGGGGTACAGTATGTGGCAGTGGACATGAGGGTACAGTATGTGGCAGTGGACATGGGGGTACAGTATGTGGCAGTGGACATGAGGGTACAGTATGGGGCAGTGGACATGTTGGAACAGTATGTGGCAGCAAACATGTGGGTACAGTATGTGGCAGTGGACATGGGGGTGCAGTATGTGGCAGTCGACATGTTGGAACAGTATGTGGCAGCAAACATGTGGGTACAGTATGTGGCAGTGGACATGGGGGTGCAGTATGTGGCAGTCGACATGTTGGAACAGTATGTGGCAGCAAACATGTGGGTACAGTATGCGGCAGTGGACATGGGGGTGCAGTATGTGGCAGTCGACATGTTGGAACAGTATGTGGCAGCAAACATGTGGGTACAGTATGTGGCAGTGGACATGGGGGTGCAGTATGTGGCAGTATACATGGGGATGCAGTATCTAGCAGAAGATATGGGGCTGCAGTATGTGGCAGTAGACATGGGGATGCAGTATGTGGCAGTATACATGGGGATGCAGTATCTGGCAGAAGATATGGGGCTGCAGTATGTGGCAGTAGACATGGGGATGCAGTATGTGGCAGTATATATGGGGATGCAGTATCTGGCAGAAGATATGGGGCTGCAGTATGTGGCAGTAGACATGGGGATGCAGTATGTGGCAGTATACATGGGGATGCAGTATCTGGCAGAAGATATGGGGCTGCAGTATGTGGCAGTATCTGGCAGAAGATATGGGGCTGCAGTATGTGGCAGTAGACATGGGGGTACAGTATGTGGCAGTGTACATGTGGGTGCTGTATGAGGCAGTGTAAATAGGGGTGCTGTATGTGGCAGTATACATGGGGGTACAGTACAGTATGTGGCAGTATAGTTGGGGGTGCAGTATGTGGCAGTGGACGGGGATGAAGTATGTGGCAGTGTAAATGGGGGTGCAGTATGTGGCAGTAGCCATGGGGATGCAGTATGTGGCAGTATACATGGGGATGCAGTATGTGGCAGTGTACATGCTTGAAAAAGTGTTGTCTTTCTTGTTGGTGAGCATACTCCAAACTTCCGAAACCAACACATTGCCTTGTCCAGAGAGAATTCGACACTGTCTGTAAATGTCTCTGTCATCAGACAAGTCAGCAGAGATGTGTAGTGTCCCAGATAGTTGTATTCCTCTGTTATGCTCAGTGGGTTACCCGATAGGAAGAAGACACGAAGACTTTTGTTTGTTTACTCCTGCCTATTTAATGTACAGTGACATAAATTATCAGGTGGAGGGTTTGTTTACCTTGTTTAAAGTATATTTACTCTATCTACTAGAATTAATAAACAACACTTTTACTGTACTACATCTCTCGGTCGGTGTTTCATTTGACTGTTTATACTGTCTAAGCTTCACAACAGCACTTACAGCCCAGTAATAGACCTGACTGAGGACCTGAAGGCCTTATGTGTAATATGACATTGGTGTGTTTGCTGGCAGAACTTCACTGATGATGCAACGGCCTTCGCTTCGCTTCCCCCTTTTAGGGCCGTGCGCGTGAGCCTCGATAATCCTGTGTGTTTGATTGTCTAAAGTGTCGGGCCTCTCTGTCTCTGCTTGTGTCGCGCTGCAGGACCAGGCCGCCAAAGACAAAGCTCTGCAAAGTATGGCCACAATGTCGTCAGCGCAGATCATCTCCCCCACCGCCTTCCAGAACAAGATGGCACTCCAGGGCTTGTCCCGGCAGGCCTACACCCCCAGCGGAGGAGTGAGTAGAGGGGCCGGGGCCTGGATCAATACAAATACAAACATACAGGAGCAATGTCAAATGTTTTAAAGATGCTATACCCGATTTATTTTCTAATGAGTAAAAAAAAAAGAAGCTTATTACTACATACAAATTGTATTACAATTCGTATTTTAATTGAAAACTTTAGTTCATTGATTCAGCTGTGTATGAATTCAGGCCGTAAAAAAAGTGCAGAGTAGAGACTTTAGCGTGACGCCCGCTCTCCTCCAATCACAGAGCGAGGCTGCGTCCTCTAGCCTCTACAGCGCTGCTAAACACAGTAGCATGTTAGCATAAGTGGCTATAACTCCTCTGGCTGTAACTGCAGACACAGCAAAACAGCCCAAACGACACAACAGTAAAGAAGAGAAGAGAACTAAAGCGAAAACATGATCAAAGAAGAAATCAAACCCGGGTGAACATAGCTAGCTTACATCGTATCCTCTGGAGAGACTTGTCTATGGGAGAAACCTGCGAGACCGCCTCGGACTATCTACGCTCGGACTATCTACGCTCGGACTATCTACGCCCGGACTATCTATGTTCGGACTATCTATGTTCGGACTATCTATGCTCGGACTATCTATGTTCGGACTATCTATGCTCGGACTATCTATGCTCGGACTATCTACGCTCGGACTATCTACGCCCGGACTATCTATGTTCGGACTATCTACGCTCGGACTATCTACGCTCGGACTATCTACGCTCGGACTATCTACGCTCGGACTATCTACGCTCGGACTATCTATGCTCGGACTATCTATGCTCTGACTATCTATCCTCGGACTATCTACGCTCGGACTATCTACGCTCGGACTATCTATGCTCGGACTATCTATGCTCGGACTATCTATGCTCGGACTACATTCGGACGTGAAACTAGCAGTAATCTTTCAGTTATATATTTTGTTAGCAGTGCGTTGCTTTTGTACCATTTCATCAGTGATTGTTGTACAGCTTAAGTTGCGCTAATGCTAAAGTTAGCATCAGATCGCAAATAAAACTAGATTGCTCCGTGGGATGAAAGCGTAGGGGAAATGAGAAGCCTGTGAGCGAGTTGGGGGGCGGGGCTAAACATTCAAACCTTGCAGAAACGGGTATAGCTCCTTTAAGCACAGGCAGAAAAACGATGCTCTTCTATGGCTCACGAATGGGTTTGTCAAACGAAACTTCTGCAAACCCATTCTATTCTATTGTGACAGTAAACCACATACAACATCAGCTTCCAGTTTGTGCTAAAGCATCCGCAATCATAGCAATTCACACAAACTATTGGGAAAAACAAATATTTAAACGCGCACTCCTCTGCTGTTCTGGTGGTGAGCCTGGTTTTTGCTTTGGTTAAGCTAAATGTTGTTTGACCTAGGTATTTATACAGTTTGTAACTTTTCTTTTACGGTGGAAACAAGCTTGTGACTTCAATAAATGTAAAGAACATGTCATGTCTTCTTAATATTTGGGGCTTATAAGGTGCTTTTAATGAGACAAAGAACATAACAAAAAAACAAACCCAATACATACAATACAATACAAATAATTCACATTTAACACACGCAGGACAGGTTTGCTTCACCCCCGACAATAATACTTCATTCGGAAAACATATACATAATTTCTATATACAATAAACAGATACATACAGCAGCAACTTAAAATACACATATAGGTATTACAAAAAGAAAGGAATTCTTCTAATTCTTCTAATTTATCTAATTCTTTTACGAAAAGAATTAGATAAAATACAAAAAAATAGAATAAAAACTGCTAGCAACATGAACAGGGAGTAGTAAGGTATCTAAATAATTCTGAGGATCTTATGGATGTGGGTAACTTATTCCAATCAGATGGAGCCTTGTAAAAAAATAGATAGATAGATACTTTATTGATCCTCGTAGGAGAAATTCAGGTGTCCAGTAGCAGCAAAAATAAAATATAAAAATTTTCATTCTAAAAAGTTAAACATAGTATTAATTAGCAACTTCAGGTCACAGGAGAAGAGGTGGAGTAGCCTCTGGGTGGAGCAGGGCAGGTCAAAAGGTGGAACAGCCGCTTGGTTCGGAGCATCTTCTTTGCTCTGGTCCAAAGTAAAATGCTAAATGCTTCATTAGCATTATTCAAAAAGTTAGCATTCAAACAGTGGATTTTCATCTGATCCACTTGGTTCGGACCATGAATCCTCTCTGCTCTGGTCTGGACCAGTGTAAAACCATGAACACTGTACTGCAGCAACATCTCAGGTGGAAAAAAGCAAAAAAGTATGAAAAAATGTATATTCAAAAGCACAAATCAACAGCTGTTTCAGAGTAAGTAAGTAAGTAAGTTTTATTTATATACCGCCTTTTCACTGCAGATCTGAGTCTCAAAGCGGTTTACAATTGTTAATTTTGGGCATTTTTCTCTCACTCCACACAGAGATGGGAGCAGAGTCGCCAGTACAGGAGGCGCAGGCTAGAACTATTGGACATATTTTTAGTGGTAGGGGAAACCGGAGTACCCGGAGGAAAACCTACGCAGACACAGGGAGAACATGCAAACTCCACTCAGAAAGGCCCTGGTCCGACCGGGATTCGAACCCAGGACCTTCTTGCTGAGAGGCGAGAGTGCTATCCACTCAGCCACCGTGCCGAGCTACTTAGGACTTGCAGCCGTTTCCCAGGGAACTCAAAAGTAAACAAAAAAGGATCTACTTCTGACTTCTTTATTGATTCTTGGAACAGAAAAGGTGAGGGAGTTGGTGCTTCTCTAATCTGCCGAAGATCAGGAAACACGGTGCACGGACCATCAACGAAGACGAAGGGGCCTATGCCTTGCCTCACACTTGAGACTCACTTCTCCAGGGATGACAGCACAGCAATGGGCGTGATCAGTCTGATGGATCTTCCCAATATTTACACAAATGGTTTTTTGTTTTTTTTTATTGCCCTAAATCACAACAGCAGTCGTCTCGGAGGAATTTACAAAGTTGTGGATTCCAACAAACACTTCAGAGAATCAGAGAGAAAAAAGTGAGAAACCGCAGAGGGATAGGCTATAGATCCAGGCTATAGATCCAGGCTATAGATCCAGGCTATAGATCCAGGCTATAGATCCAGGCTATAGATCAGGCTATAGATCCAGGCTATAGTTCCAGGCTATAGTTCCAGGCTGTAGATCCAGGCTTTAGATCCAGGCTTTAGATCCAGGCTATAGATCCAGGCTATAGATCCAGGCTATAGTTCCAGGCTATAGATCCAGGCTATAGTTCCAGGCTATAGATCCAGGCTTTAGATCCAGGCTATAGTTCCAGGCTATAGATCCAGGCTATAGTTCCAGGCTATAGATCCAGGCTATAGTTCCAGGCTATAGATCCAGGCTATAGTTCCAGGCTATAGATCCAGGCTATAGTTCCAGGCTATAGATCCAGGCTATAGATCCAGGCTGTTCCAGGCTATAGATCCAGGCTATAGTTCCAGGCTATAGATCCAGGCTATAGTTCCAGGCTATAGATCCAGGCTATAGATCCAAGACTGAGGCTGTGTGGTGCCGGACTGAAGAGGTCAAAGGTCCATCATCACGCCATGAAACAGACAATGGGACAGCGGGTGAATAGCAAAAAACAGCTGCAGTCATAAAGAGGACTGTAAATGTCTTTGTGGGACCAGGGTCTGTGAAATGCGCTATATTGACAAAGATTCCTTACGTATATTTACCCTTCACACAAAGCAGGCCACCACCAGAACAGTTGAGTGCACCTATAGGCAACGTGTCCTTTGCCATTCGACTCTTCAAACAAGCCACAATAAAATATATGACCAAACGCATTTATTTTTCTACAAAGTGACAACTGAATGTATAAAAACTGAAGGAGATTAAAAAAAAATCTCAAATGTCTGACCACCTTTTTTCTTTTTTTGTATAGTTTTGGCACGGAGCACTGTCGGGGCAACCTGGGGGCCATGAAGAGTAAGGAACTATACGCCACTCTACTCTACTCTACTTTAATTAGCCCTACTCTACTCTACTGTACTGTACTTAGCCCTACTCTACTCTACTGTACTGTACTTAGCCCTACTCTACTCTACTGTACTCGGTTCTACTCTATCCCCCTTTGGCCCTGTTTAACCAGCACCAGGTACTTTTTTAGCCCTTAAAGGGGCAGTAAGCAATTTTGTTAGCTTAGCCGTAGCACCAACCGGAAACCACGCCCCCTTCCCCTCGCCTCTCCACCGAACCAAACATCCAGCATGTTCTTTTCTTTGTCACAACCGGGAGAGTGGGCGGCAAACGTGAAATTGGCATTTTCTGTTCAGCCATTTTAGGTTTTAGAAAATCCGATAACTCAGGTGCACTCGTGAGAAACAGGAAGAGGGTGAAGGGGGTAAACGCATTGGTTTATTTTTATCGGTCCGCTCTATAGGCATCTAGTCTATTCCATTACTATTTGAAAACACATGATAACTTGATACTTTTAGGGTTTAGGGACGTTTTCCCACAATTTTTCATAAAAATGCGTCTGGGAAAAAAATCGCTGACTGCATCTTTAAACGCTAAAAAGAATTTCAGCCGGAAGCCATGGTTACCTAGGAATTTCCCTGGATACTGGTTTGTTGTGTGTAGGTTGCTAGGATACGGTTCCACATACCACACAAACTCGGCTGTTTGTTTTATATGGACTCTTTTGTGTGTCTGAATTAAAGATGAAATAAATAACGCAACCAGGTGGAGTAGAGCCGAGTAGAGTAGGGCCAAGTAGGGCTGGTGGAAACAGGGCTAAATGACTGTATAATTATTATTTTACGCCTAAATAAATCCCACTTAGTGTTAATTTCAGAACAAATTGAAGTAAATGTGTGAAGTTTGCAGCTGCCTGACCTCTGTGCTCTCCTGCGACTCTGTGACCAATTAGTCTGGAGGGCGGGCTCATGCATTTGGGTCTTGCCTAACATTTCTCTCCCTTCTCTCTCCCTCCCCCCCTCCTCTCTCTCCTCTCCCTTCCTCCCTTTCTCTCTCCTATCTCCTCTCTTTTCTCTTTTCCCTGTCTTCCACTCGCTTCTTTCTTGTCTCTTTCCTTTCTGTCAATCCTCTCCTTCTCAATCCCTTGTATCAATTGTCTCCCCCTCTTCCTTCTCTCTCCTCACCCTCCTCTCTCTTCTCTTCTCCCTGTCTCTCCCTATTTTCTCTTCTCTTCTTCCTTTTTCTCTCCTTTCTCAATCCCTTCTCACTCTCCTCCCTCTTCCTTCTCTCTCCTCTCAATCTCTTTTTCCTCTCTCTCCTCTCAACCTCTCACCTCTCCCTCTCCTCTATCCCTCTTCCTTCTCCCTCCTCTCTCTCCTCCCTCATCTCTCGCTCTCTCCTCTCTCTCTTCCCCCTTCTTTTTTTCTCTCTCTTCTCCCCCTCCTCATCTCTCTTCTCTCCTCCCTCATCTCTCGCTCTCTCCTCCTCCCCCTCCTCTCCCCCTCTCTCCAGCATTAAGCCGTTCTCCCAGCAGAGTTACACCATGCAAGCATCTGGCCCGACACCCATAACAGGTGGGCACTCTTCCTCCCCTCGCGGCTGGCCCATAATCAAAGGGACACAGATAGTACTTACCCAGACCAAAAGGAGAAGCCCTCAGTCCTGACCAAGGATTTAAACTATTTTAAGTTTTTTGGCCGGTGGCTTCATTGTCAATGTGTTGACCCTAACCCTAAAACAGACTGTATACAGATGGACAATGCTAACACAGACTGTATACAGATGGACAATGCTAACATAGACTGTATACAGATGGACAATGCTAACATAGACTGTATACAGATGGACAATGCTAACATAGACTGTATACAGATGGACAATGCTAACATAGACTGTATACAGATGGACAATGCTAACATAGACTGTATACAGATGGACAATGCTAACATAGACTGTATACAGATGGACAATGCTAACATAGACTGTATACAGATGGACAATGCTAACATAGACTGTATACAGATGGACAATGCTAACATAGACTGTATACAGATGGACAATGCTAACATAGACTGTATACAGATGGACAATGCTAACATAGACTGTGTACAGACGGATAATGCATGTGTGGAGTGAGGTAGAATTAAATGCGTTCTATATGAATAAAGATTACTTAAAAGTTTTAAATATGCCCTTTTGTCATGTAAAAAATATTATTCTGTACTAATGTCAAACCTGTCTGCACACACAGGTTATGAAAGCACGGCAGGTATGGCCGTGTCCCCGGGCGCCCCCCCGTGGCAGGGCAGATGTATTGCCAGCTCAAAGTTGCGTATGTTGGAGTTTTCTTCCTTCTTAGAGCAACCCCAGGACCCCGAAACTGTGAGTGAGCAGAAATATCAACCATACTTGACTTGTCCTGCACTGCACAGCCTAGTTATAGTGCATGAGTCCTGGATCCACAGCCTCATTCCTGGGTCTACAGCCTCAGTCCTGGGTCTACAGCCTCAGTCCTGGATCTACAGCCTCAGTCCTGGATCTACAGCCTCAGTCCTGGATCTACAGCCTCAGTCCTGGATCTACAGCCTCAGTCCTGGATCTACAGCCTGAGTCCTGGATCTACAGCCTCAGTCTTGGATCCACAGCCTCAGTCCTGTATCTACAGCCTCAGTCCTGGATCTACAGCCTCACTGCTAATTTACACATGACGCGTTACAGCACGTACGCGTTATACGCGCAGCAGACGCGCGTAACTTTTTTCCATGTTAACCTATGATGATATTTACACTTCTAGCGTTATACGCGCGTATGACGGACGTATGACGCGAAGCTGCGCTCTAATTTAGGATGGATTTCTAATTTTGTGCGCGCACCAACGCGTCTCCCATTGAAATCTCATGTAAAACATGATTTTTCTAGCGGTCCTTGGCTCTAGATCACATCTACACACACACAAACACACACACACACACACAGCACTTGTGTCTAAACATCAGCAGGAGGAGCAGCAGGTTTTACAGTGATTCTGGACATCGTTTTTTTTTTCTTTCATAAAGTCTTGCGTCTGGCCAAACCAGCAACAGAGACCATGAAGACAAACACATGCATGTGATTTGTGTTGCTCTACATCAGTCCTCTGGCCCGTACTGTCCTCTACACTGCTCCATAGACACACACAGGGACAGCATCAGAAGGACCTGCGCACACGGTCAGTGTAGATACTCCAAAAAAATGTTACGCGCAGAGAGCGCGCAGTAAACGCGTACGCGCTGTTTACGCCTACTGTGTAAATTCCCTGTCAGTCTTGGATCCACAGCCTCAGTCCTGGATCTACAGCCTCAGTCCTGTATCTACAGCCTCAGTCCTGGATCTACAGCCTCAGTCCTGTATCTACAGCCTCAGTCTTGGATCTACAGCCTCAGTCTTGGATCCACAGCCTCAGTCCTGGATCTACAGCCTCAGTCCTGATTTAGCCTTTCAGTCCGTGGGAGTGGATCCTACTCTCATTACTGGCTTCCCAGAGTCTCCCTCCGTCAAACTTTGGGGTAGTCTAAGGACAGTGATGATTTGTGCATATGTGTGTGTGTGTGTGTGTGTGTGTGTGTGCTTCTATCTTGTTCATGTGTGTATGATCGGAAACACTTTTTTATTGGCTGTCATCATTTTGGATTCCTGCCCAAACTCAAGCATTTTTTGACCCATTTCTGTCTCCCTATGATACCGACACACAACATATATGTACGTCTACAAGTCTATACATACAAATATATAACGTGATAGTTTAAAAGCAAAAATAAAGCAGCCCACTCAGCTCTCTTTCGGGGGAAGTGGAGGCTGAGCCAGAATAGTGTGTTTGTGGACAACTGCCTGGCGCGTAGGGAGTCCGACAGATGTCCTTGGATTTACAGTTTGAGAATTGCCGAACGCTTCAGTTGAGATTTTTTGGCTGCCTTCACTTCCTGATGCGTGTTTGTCTCCACAGTTCAACAAGCACCTGCTCGTCCACATCGGCCAGTCCAACCCCAGCTACAGCGACCCATATTTGGAGTCCGTGGACATCAGGCAAATCTACGACAAGTTCCCAGAGAAGAAAGGAGGCCTGAAGGAGCTGTTCGACAAGGGGCCACACAACGCTTTCTTCTTGGTGAAATTCTGGGTAAACTATCAGATCAAAAACAACATTTAATCATCAATCAATCGATATGAGTTTCTGTTGCATAATTTGGGCACAAGGCAAATCAAAGGGCTTCTCAAGAGCCATTATAAACCAGATCAGAATGTATAAAAACAGATCAAACAGGCAATACTGAAGACATCAATATACAGCAATTTCACAACAAAACAGTGAAGCATTATATTCATAATCATAATAATAATGCATTGGTTTTATATAGCACTTTTCAGGACACTCAAAGAAGCTTCATATGTCATTCTTCTTTCACTCCAAACACACTGGTGATAAACTTTGACTGTAGCCATAGCTGCCCTGGGGCACACTGACAGAAGGGAGGCAACCAGTCTGTGCCATCGGCCCCTCCCACCACCACCAACCATTCACACACACACCAGACTCATTCTAATGTGGGTGAAGTTTTTTTCCTAAGGACACGGCGACAGTTTGGCACTTTACAGCTGCAGCCGCCCCACTGTGGCACCTGGTGTTTCCCAAGGTCTCCCATCACAGTGCTAACCAGGCCCTGCCCTGCTTAGCTTCTGAGATCTTTCGGGATCTGGCTTTCACATGCAAGTAAAATAAAAATGGGTTTCTTAGACAGATACATAGATAGATATAGTTAAACAGATAAGTTATAAACCCAGTTCGGGTAATGGCCAATTGTTTACCATTTTTGCTAACAATCTTTCACATACGCTTATTTTGAAAGGAGTGCGGTGTGTTGCTGTGTTGCTGTGCTAGGCCCTTTAATCCAGACCAGTGTGAGGTGAGAATACAGTGGATACTCTTGTTAATGTCTCGAAGGTGTTAGCTGCGTTTGGAATAGCTCCGGCGGCAGAGTTAGCCCTGAGCCCTGAATCACGATCTTACACAGTTGTGGATTCTTTTTTTTTTTTTGTTTTGTTTTTTTTTTTATTTATTTATTTGACAGGGACAGTGTACATTAATCAACATTTCTGTAAATGCACCGGAATTAGCCAAAAGGCTATTTTTCATCCGTAGTCCCTGGACAGATGTAAAAAGTCTCCCTAAGACAATAAAACAATAAAACATTACGGTCAGTGCAATAAAATACAAAGTAGGACACAGTCACTACACTATACAGGTTATATACAAATACAAACAGTGCAAACAATAAGAATCATAATACAGACAGGGGTTAATGACTGCAAGACTGTTGAGTAATGAACCAGTTCTTTAAATGTTTTTTAAACAGTATGTTAGTGGACAGATCTCTTATGTTAGCTGGGATGGAGTTCCAGTCTTTGGCTGCAGTTACAGAAAAGGTGTTCTGACTAAAGGCACTTTTCCTAAATGGAACTATGCAGTCTCCTCGAGCTGCTCCTCTAGTCACCCGCTGTAAATATGTGGGGTTTCTGATGCTGACAAACTGACTGAGTGGGGGAGATGATTGGTTGTGGATTATTTTATGTATGAGGCAGAGGTTTGAATACTTAATGAGATTTTCCCAGCTTAAAAGTTTGTGCTTTTGAAGGATATTGCAGTGATGATACCTCATTGGTTTTTTGTCCAGAATTTTTATTGTCCGTTTGTAAAGTGACTCTAAGGGCTTTAGTGTTGTTTTATTTGCTTGAGACCAAGTTGTTAAACAGTAGGTTATGTGCGATAGGACCATGGAATACATGAACATTTTTGCTGCTTGCAGAGAGATTCGCCAACGAGAGATCAGAAAACGCAGTGTTATTGGTCCCACAGTGGGGAAATGTCAGTGTTGCATCAGCAGTTACAGAACACACGGAATGAGGAGCACACAGCACGAGATAGATAAACAATAACTTTATACTAAACTAAAATAAAATCTCTAACTTTAGCATAATTAAGACAAAGTATGGAATCTAGCTTTAGCAACAACAACAAAAACTAGGATGAAATCTAGCTTTAGCATGATAAAGAAGAAAGTCTAAAACCTAGCGTTAGCATAATTAAATAAGCTAGTAAAAAATCTCTAACTTAAGCATATTAAAGAAGCAAGTATACAATCTCTAGCTTTAGCATAATAAAGAAGCTAGCATAAAATATAGCTTTAGCATAATAAAGAAGGCGTCATTATTATCATACAGCGTCCATAGGAAGCTGTATGACCAATATGTCCCTAAATGTCCTGGATCTTCACTGTCCTTAGATCCTCCCGCTTCCACAGAAGGATCTAGAATGTCTCCGTGATCCACGCGTGTCGTAAAAGCAGGAGTCCGTCTAATTGTTGGAGGTTGATGTGAGAGCGGCCGAGTGACAGGCTCTGATCCTTCACTGGGGAAATGCGATCTCGGACACCTGTCTGCAGGCCGCGAGCCGAGCCGGACCCCTACACCCCCTACACACCTATTTATAGATAAACACACAAAAAGCTCCCAGACAAACGAGGATAACGGGCCGTGACGTTAGATGAGACTGAGGTGGAGAGAGGATGGACAGACATGAAATCAAAGTGAAAAAGCAAATTTACAGGGAAGCATCTAATCCGAGATGGTTCTGGTCTGTGGGTCAAATCCGGCCCGCCAAACCGTTTTCAGTGGACATTATGTCAGAAGCCGTGCGTATAGTGTATAATAGAGCTGCAGACGCCATGAGGCAAAGAAGAGATGAACCGAAAACAACGCAGGACGGCAAAAATATGTATTTAATCAAAAGTCAACGTCAAGAGCTAAAACAGACGTGGAAATGAAAATGAGGGAACAGGGAGTGAAGGAATACCCAAGGTTTGAATACAAGACTAACGAGACCAGAGAGACCAGAGATAGTCCACAGAGGGAAACCAGGGAGAGACCACAGAGAGAGACCAGAGAGAGACCATAGAGAGAGACCAGAGAGAGACCAGAAAGAGAGACCAGAGAGAGACCAGAGAGAGAGACCAGAGATAGTCCACAGAGGGAGACCAGAGAGAGACCAGAGAGAGACCAGAGAGAGACCAGAGAGAGACCAGAGAGAGACCAGAGAGAGAGACCAGAGAGAGACCAGAGAGAGAGACCAGAGAGAGACCATAGAGAGAGACCAGAGATAGTCCACAGAGAGAGACCAGAGATAGTCCACAGAGGGAGACCAGAGATAGACCACAGAGGGAGACCAGAGAGAGACCATAGAGAGAGACCAGAGATAGTCCACAGAGGGAGACCAGAGAGAGACCACAGAGAGAGACAACAGATAGACCACAGAGAGAGACCACAGAGAGAGACCAGAGAGAGACCACAGAGAGAGACCAGAGAGAGACCATAGAGAGACCAGAGAGAGAGACCAGAGATAGTACACAGAGGGAGACCAGAGATAGACCACAGAGGGAGACCAGAGAGAGACCACAGAGAGAGACCAGAGAGAGACCATAGAGAGAGACCAGAGAGAGAGACCAGAGATAGTCCACAGAGGGAGACCAGAGATAGACCACAGAGGGAGACCAGAGAGAGACCATAGAGAGAGACCAGAGATAGTCCACAGAGGGAGACCAGAGAGAGACCACAGAGAGAGACCAGAGAGAGACCACAGAGAGAGACCACAGAGAGAGACCATAGAGAGACCAGAGAGAGAGACCAGAGATAGTCCATAGAGGGAGACCAGAGAGAGACCACAGAGAGAGACCAGAGAGAGACCAGAGATAGTCCACAGAGGGAGACCAGAGAGAGACCAGAGAGAGACCAGAGATAGTCCACAGAGGGAGACCATAGAGAGAGACCAGAGATAGTCCACAGAGGGAGACCAGAGAGAGACCACAGAGAGAGACCAGAGAGAGAGACCATAGAGAGAGACCAGAGATAGTCCACAGAGGGAGACCAGAGAGAGACCACAGAGAGAGACCATAGAGAGAGACCATAGAGAGAGACCATAGAGAGAGACCAGAGATAGTCCACAGAGGGAGACCAGAGAGAGACCACAGAGAGAGACCACAGAGAGAGACCAGAGAGAGAGACCATAGAGAGAGACCAGAGATAGTCCACAGAGGGAGACCAGAGAGAGACCACAGAGAGAGACCAGAGAGAGACCATAGAGAGAGACCAGAGATAGTCCACAGAGGGAGACCAGAGAGAGACCACAGAGAGAGACCAGAGAGAGACCATAGAGAGAGACCAGAGATAGCCCACAGAGAGAGACCAGAGATAGTCCACAGAGGGAGACCAGAGAGAGAGACCAGAGATAGTCCACAGAGAGAGACCACAGAGAGAGACCAGAGAGAGACCAGAGACAGAGACCAGAGATAGTCCACAGAGGGAGACCAGAGAGAGACCAGAGAGAGAGACCAGAGAGAGACCAGAGAGAGAGACCAGAGAGAGACCAGAGATAGTCCACAGAGGGAGACCAGAGAGAGACCACAGAGAGAGACCATAGAGAGACCAGAGAGAGAGACCAGAGATAGTCCACAGAGGGAGACCAGAGAGAGACCACAGAGAGAGACCAGAGAGAGAGACCAGAGATAGTCCACAGAGAGAGACCAGAGACAGACCAGAGATAGTCCACAGAGGGAGACCAGAGAGCGACCATAGAGAGAGACCAGAGAGAGACCAGAGAGACCACAGAGAGAGAGCATAGAGAGACCATAAAGAGAGACCAGAGAGAGACCAGAGAAAGACCACAGAGAGAGAGAGACCAGAGAAAGACCAGAGAGAGAGACCAGAGAGAGATCAGAGAGAGACCAGAGAGAGACCATAGAGAGAGACCAGAGAGAGACCAGAGAAAGACCACAGAGAAAGACCACAGAGAGAGACCAGAGAGAGACCAGAGAGAGACCATAGAGAGAGACCAGAGAGAGACCAGAGAGAGACCATAGAGAGAGACCAGAGAGAGACCAGAGAAAGACCACAGAGAGAGACCAGAGAGAGACCATAGAGAGAGACCAGAGAGAGACCAGAGAGAGACCACAGAGAGAGACCAGAGAAAGACCACAGAGAGAGAACAGAGAAAGACCACAGAGAGAGACCAGAGAGAGACCAGAGAAAGACCAGAGAGAGTCCACAGAGAGAGACCAGAGAGAGACCACAGAGAGAGACCAGAGAAAGACCACAGAGAGAGACCAGAGAGAGAACAGAGAAAGACCACAGAGAGAGACCAGAGAGAGACCAGAGAGAGACCAGAGAAAGACCAGAGAGTCCACAGAGAGAGACCCGAGAGACCAGAGAAAGACCACAGAGAGAGACCACAGAGAGAGACCAGAGAGAGACCAGAGAAAGACCACAGAGAGAGACCAGAGAAAGACCAGAGAGACAAGAGATAGACCACAGAGAGAGACCAGACAGATCAAAGTCCAGAGAGAGACCACAGAGAGACACACAAACGTTTTCAAGGCAACACCAGCGGCCGATAAAAACACACAAACAGAAATCAGTGAAACGTGGAGGTCACCAGAGGTTGGACTTGTTTTTATAATCTCTTATTTTTGTTGTTCAAAGGAGTCTCCAAAGAAAGTGAATGTCAAGTTCAAAGTGAAGTGGTGCAACCGTACGCCACCGGGCGGCATGAGAGGCATCCGGGCTCTCACGGATTATTTATTATGGAGTGATAGAAGACATTTATGACTGACACCATATTGGATGAAGTTTTCTCTAGTCTGTGAGATCAACAGCTGGTCAGAGCTGTGGCATTTGATTCCGGGGTGAGAGAGGAGAAGGGAGGGGGGCATACTACACTACTGCCATGTGTCATCAAAAGGAGAAGCCGTGAAGATGGGGGAGATAGAACCAGTGACCAGAGAGAGTCTAGAGAGAGACTAGAGAGATCAGAGTCTAGAGAGAGAGACCAGAGAGGGAGACCAGACAAAGACCACAGAGAGAGATCAGAGGCCAGAGAGAGACTAGAAAGAGAGACCAGATAGACCACAGAGAGAGACCAGAGAGATCCGAGTCAAGAGAGAGAGAACAGAGAGGGAGACCAGACCACAGAGAGAGATCAGAGTCCAGAAAGAGTTTAGAAAGAGAGACCAGAGAGATCAAAGTCTAGAGAGATAGACCAGAGAGGATGACGAGAAAGAGAGACCAGGGAAAAACTGTAGAGAGAGATCAGAGTCCAGAGAGAGAGAGACCCGAGAGGGAGACCACAGAGAGAGATCAGAGTCTGGAGAGAGAGACCAGAAAGAGAGACAAGAGAAAGACCACAGAGAGAGACCAGAGTCTTGAGAGAGAGAGACCACAGAGGGAGACCAGAAAGAGAGACCAGAGAAAGACCACAGAGGGAGACTAGAGAGATCAGAGTCTGGAGAGAGTGAGAGAGACCAGAGAACAAGACCAGAAAGAGTCTAGAAAGACCACAGAGTTATCAGAATCATTAAGCAACTTTTACATAAAAAAGAAGCAAGAACTAAGTGTAAAATCTCCATATTTAGCATAAAATAGAAGAAAGAATTAAGTAAGAAATCTCCAACTTTACCATTAAAAATAAGCTAGAATTTAAAAAGTGAAAAATCTCCAACTTCAGCATCAAAAAGAACCAAGAACTAAGTATAAAACATCTGACTTAAGCGAAATGAAAAAAGTAAGTATAAAATATCAGCCTTTGATACTTAACAATATACAAAAATCCGCCCCTAACCTTGTCCCCCTCTCGCTGATCATTGCATCACGCCTCGGGGGGGGTTTCTCCTCTCCCCGAACATCCTGGACAAAACGCACAAATGCTACCAAACAGCTGGACATTTCAACACACGGGGCGAGGACAAGAAAAACAGACACTCGTAGCTATCAAAACCCTCCCAACGCAATCCCGCAGACATGTGAAAACACACTAACCCTATTTCGGTGCAGTAAAAACATTTTGGATGCAGCCGTAATGACAGGGCCTCGTGGTCGCTCCTGTCCCGCGGCCGTGCGAGGTGCAGTTGGCATGGCGACGCTGACAGCACCCTGGCCCTGCTCCAGCGCTATGGCACCCCAGATTAGATTTCACGCGGACCCCTCCGACGGCCGCCGGCTCGCCCTCCTCCCCGCCAACCCGCCTGCGCCCGTGGGCCCTGTCCTAACGGATCGTCTGGCGCTTTTGAAGTGCCGAGGGAATCCGATTTGAGCTGGATCTGCTAAATTGTTACACAGCCTGCCTGCCCGCCATGATCTAATCAAGCAATTGCAGGCTGCTGATTGTAATTGGATGAATTCCCTCGCAGGCTGTTAGCGGAGCAGGCAATGGTAGTCCGTGTGGGTTAGCGGGCCCCAGGGATGAAGACAAATAGAGGAATTACACAGGCTAGAGATGAAGATGAACAGGCGATGAAGAGATGAGAGGAGGGTGAGCGCTGTCTCAATGGGCCATTAGGAGACACGGGCCTGACAGGGGGAAGGTAGGCGGTCCCACGGTCAGATGGAGCACACCTCGGCCTCAGACAAAATTAGATTGCACTGGCTTTGGTTCAGACCCATAACACGGGAATCATCAAGTGGAGCTGCTTTACCTACAATCATGTCTGACTAAAAAAAAACAAAAAACCTCTACTAATTCGATTCAATTCAATGTATTTGTGTGCAGTCATAAATCACAACGGCGGTTATCTCGGAGGACTCGCTGAACAACAGAACACGCGAAATGCAAGAATAACAAAGACATAGGAGCCATTGGTCCATAGGGAGCAGGATGACCACTGTCTATAATTGTCAATACATGTGCATAAATGAACCTCCTTCATCAAAACCGAGGCTGAGGCCCAGGACTGAGGCTGTAGATCCAGGTCTGAGGCTGTAGATCCAGGACTGAGGCTGTAGATCCAGGACTGAGGCTGTAGATCCAGGACTGAGGCTGTAGATCCAGGTCTGAGGCTGTAGATCCAGGACTGAGGCTGTAGATCCAGGACTGAGGCTGTAGATCCAGGACTGAGGCTGTAGATCCAGGTCTGAGGCTGTAGATCCAGGTCTGAGGCTGTAGATCCAGGTCTGAGGCTGTAGATCCAGGACTGAGGCTGTAGATCCAGGACTGAGGCTGTAGATCCAGGTCTGAGGCTGTAGATCCAGGTCTGAGGCTGTAGATCCAGGTCTGAGGCTGTAGATCCAGGTCTGAGGCTGTAGATCCAGGACTGAGGCTGTAGATCCAGGTCTGAGGCTGTAGACCCAGGACTATACTATGGTGTGGTAAGACCAGGCTACCACAGTCCAAGTACAAGTGTAAAAAGGTAAAGAAGTGTTTGACATGTTTTGGGGGCGACAGTGGCTCAGTTGGTAGAGCATTGGCCTTTGAGCCCGAAGGTCATGGGTTTGAGCCCACCACGAAACCTTCTCCACCAACTCCCACTGATGTCGTTGTGTCCTTGGGCAGGACACTTAACCCACTTTGCCTATAAGGAGCACGGAAGTGATGTTTGCTGCTTGCCATGATGTTTAAATGTGTATATGTACTGTATATGTTTGTGTGTATGCATCAAACTGAAATGTCCTCACTGTGGGACAAATAAAGGACCTTCTTCTTCTTCTTTTACCGTGACTTGTGTTTTTGAACATCATTTTGAACATACTTTCTTCTTTTGTCCAGGCCGACCTCAGCATTAACCTCCAGGACGACAGTAACTTCTTCTACGGCGTCTCCAGTCAGTACGAGAGCTCAGAGAACATGATCATCACCTCCTCCACCAAAGTCTGCTCCTTCGGGAAACAGGTGGTGGAGAAAGTGGAGGTAAGGCCCCAACAACCACACTGACCTGGAAAAACTACTCTCTTCTTAATACTCGGAAACAGAATTCTAGTTTTTCAATGTATTTACTGTTGAATCTGAAATTAGTGCTAAAACAAGTGCAACCATCATAAAGTGCTTTGTGACTCTGGTCTGTGAAAGGCGCTATATAAATAAATATTACTCACACACTTACTTTCAAGCACCTTCAAGCACCGACATCACAAATTCAAGTAAAATCCATTTTTTTTCCACTAAGATTACAACTCTGTCAACTCCCAAAGGCAAAGTTTCAGGCTGGGGACTGTTCTCAGGTCCAGGGAGTCCAGAGTTTCAGGCTGGGGACTGTTCTCAGGTCCAGGGAGTCCAGGGTTTCAGGCTGCGGACTGTTCTCAGGTCCAGGGAGTAACAGTGGCTGATGTTTATACCAACACTAATGAAAATACTACAACATTAAGATCAAGAGAAGTCCACCTGACTCCGGAAGAAAAGATACAAAATAAATTCAAAGGATTCAAGTAAATTATGTTTTGATCTCATTTTCAGTGAATGTTACATATTTTTCTTTCTCAAATATAAACACATTTACAGTATTTTTTCAAGGGCGTGACTTTGAATGAAAATGAAACCTATTTTTGATGGTTTTGCAGTGAAGTAGACGCATATTTTTTTGAAGCCCAGAAAAGGTTCAAAACTTCCTAAAAATGTTCCCATGAGTCACTTTTGGGCCCCGACCCTCCAGTTGAGAACCACAGCCATGATTTATCTTTGCCTGGAATGACCTGAACCTCATCTATTCCCTGAGAGACTGTGCAAGGATCGAGTTTCAGGCGACTGACTCAAAGAAACAAGGCATTTTTGAGCAACAAAAAAAGTCATTTTAATCAATGCAACACAGACACGTTTACCACTCAGACTCCCCAGAACTCCCAGTGCCGTCATTTTGACTGCTCCCATTCAAACGGATGGAATTCTGAGAAATTACAAAAGAAAGTTTGTTGGTTGTGAGTCATATAGTTCTTTCATTTACTCACTAACACCGGTGAATATAACTTGAAATACATAAAAACCAGTTTGTTAAAAGGCTAATGCTAACTGCTGCTAATAAACAGTGTGTTGCTATGGTAACTAGCCCTTTCTCTGGTAAAAACCAAGCTGACCCAGACCAGAACTAGAACCAGTCCAGGACCAGCACCTTGAAGAAAAGGGGCTTTAACTGCCGTGGAATGTTGTTGCCAAATGACCGAAAAATGGCTACAGTGGAATAGTAAATTCAAATAAAAAGGAGCAGTCAAAATGACGGCTTTGGGAGTTAATGGTAGAACTTGTTGCATAAAAAAAATGCGCCATAATTTCATAGAAAATAATGACAATAATGAACTGCATATAGACACAGAAAAAGAACAATGAGTAATTCCGCTTCCTTGACTAAAAGCCGTCAAATTGACTGCTACGGGAGTTTTGGTGTCAGCCGTGGAACAGGCAGAGCACATTGTGAATGACTTGACAATGTGGATGCAACAGGGCGTGACTTTCCGCTCAGAGGTGATTCACAAGGCTCCACAGCATGACTAACGTGGCTACTTTCCGGTAACTGGACAATACCCCCCCCCCCCTACTCCCCCAGCTCTGATGGATGGTACAATATAAACACACACGTCCCGCGGTAGAGCCATCTGCCTCGCGGGGAACATATTTAATGCCTTCATAATGTTATTACGGTTGTCACAAGAAATATGTTTATTGTCGTATCTCCTGCGACTCGCCGCATTAGGTGTATTACATTTCCTATCTTACAGCTTGTCACGCACAACTCAGATGTAAACAACCGGCTTCCACTGTGTGTGTGTGTGTGTGTGTGTGTGTGTGTGTTTGTGTGTGTGTGTGAGTGAGTGCTGTGTGTGAGTGTTTGTGTGTGTGAGTGAGTGACTGTGTGTGTGTGTGTGTGTGCTGGAGTGTCTACATGTGTGTTTGTGTGTATATGTATGATTGTATATCTGTGAGTGTGTGTCTTTGTGTGTGTGTGAGAGAGTGTGTGTGCATGTGTGTATGTTTGCGTGTTCGTATCGTTTCAACAATGGATTGTGTGTATATATGTGTGTGTGTGCATATTTGTGTGTGTGTTTGTATGTATTTCTCGTATCGCTTCAACAATGGATTCCACTTGTGTGTCTTTCCCTTAGACGGAGTATGCGCGTTACGAGAATGGTCGTTATGTGTTCCGGATTCACCGCTCCCCTCTTTGTGAATACATGATTAACTTCATCCACAAACTCAAGCATCTACCAGAGAAGTACATGATGAACAGTGTCCTGGAAAACTTCACAATTTTACAGGTAAACACAGACTGTATACAGATGGACAATGCTAACACAGACTGTATACAGATGGACAATGCTAACATAGATTGTATACAGATGGACAATGCTAACACAGACTGTATACAGATGGACAATGCTAACATAGCCTGTATACAGATGGACAATGCTAACATAGACTGTATACAGATGAACAATGCTAACACAGACTGTATACAGATGGACAAAGCTAACCCGCGTGCTCAATCATTGATGGATGTGCTTCACAGAGTTTTTGCTCCAACTCCCTTTGACTCCTATTGACTTACATTGAAAAGTAAACTCCTTTAGCTCAGTAACCATTTTTTTTTTCTCACCATTTTGGCCTTAAAAATCTGTGGTTTCGCACTCTCTATGATCCTGGTTTTTAATATAGTGATATTGAACTCTAAGTCCAGATATGAGTAATATATCTGCGTTGCGTTTTAGTACCGAGTAGAGTAGAGTAGAGTAGAGTAGAGTAGAGTAGAGTAGAGTAGAGTAGAGTAGAGTAGAGTAGAGGGTAGGGTAGGGTAGGGTAGGGTAGGGCAGGGTAGGGTAGGGCAGAGTAGGGCCGTATGCTAGCACCCTGAGGACCTGGGTCTCGTCTGTTGTCGGGTGCATTCCAACTGCACTCGGTACAAAGACCACATTGAGCCTACGCAGAACTCTACACATGAGCGCCTCGTTCACTTCTCATTGGACCGATTTAGCTTCAACCACAATCTCATTTAATAACTGGGCTCTGGGGACAATTACAGTTAAACCGGGGTTAGTACTGATGAAATGGCAATCACATTTGTTAGATTGATGTTAGCTTGTAAAGTTGTGTAAGCCCTACGAGAAACCTTCCTTTGTCAGTTTGTAAAGTTGTAGAGTTGCAACCAATTATAAAAGTATATTTGCCACTGGATAGTATTTAATTATATTTATTTTTGTATAGCTCTGAATCACAGCAGCGGCCACCTCGGAGGACTGTACAAAGTTGACAATTTGATCAGATCAGAGAATCTAACAGTTGGAACGCAGGGAATGCAATAATAACAAACCAGGCATGTCAAAAAATGTTGTTCATGTTGCTAATGTAGCTGTTGAGATGGTCATTTGTCATTCAGCCAACTTCAGCTTCATCATAGCAGTACATATAATACATTGCAAACAGTTTTACAATCTGGGTTGTCGGCACCTTGACAAACCTGGTTGCCTAATGTGGACCTCTTACTAAAAAGAGATACAGATCCTCTTCCAATGATGACCAGGACTGAGGCTGTAGATCCAGGACTGAGGCTGTAGATCCAGGACTGAGGCTGTAGATCCAGGACTGAGGCTGTAGATCCAGGACTGAGACTGTAGATCCAGGACTGAGGCTGTAGATCCAGGACTGAGGCTGTAGATCCCGGACTGAGGCTGTAGATCCCGGACTGAGGCTGTAGATCCAGGACTGAGGCTGTAGATCCAAGACTGAGGCTGTAGATCCAAGACTGAGGCTGTAGATCCAAGACTGAGGCTGTAGATCCAAGACTGAGGCTGTAGATCCAAGACTGAGGCTGTAGATCCAGGACTGAGGCTGTAGATCCAGGACTGAGGCTGTAGATCCAAGACTCCAGCTGCAAAACTAGGACCGAAACTATAGTATTTTTTTTACTCAACGGTGAAATACTGACACCAATACTGACCAAGGATGTACATACCCACACCTCACCCCCACACGTGTGTTTTGAATCCTCAGGTGGTGACGAACCGGGACACTCTGGAGACGCTGCTGTGTATAGCCTACGTATTTGAAGTGTCCACGAGTGAACACGGAGCACAACATCACATCTACAGACTGGTGAAAGACTGACTCTAGACCACTCTGGACCGTAGCTCTCTGGACCGTAGCACTCTGGACCGTAGCACTCTGGACCGTAGCACTCTGGACCCGTGGAAGCCCCAAGCACAACCACAACCAACAACAACAGACTGGCCACAGAGGACAATGTGAAATGAAGACTGTTTTTTCTTCTTTTTTGCGGGTGAAAAAGGCTCTACGCTGTGGTCTTCATACCAAAGGATACAACAGGAGCCAAGAAAATGCGTTTTTCATCTCTTTTTACTAGTGCTAGTGTTGGTTTTATTGTCATTTACACTCGTGCATGTGCAAAGGGGATATTTGTGGATGTGTTTGGCTGCCTCAGGTCGCCCCCTAGTGACTGAATCATGAAGTACTAAATAGTTGTGACCACTTGCACATTTTGAAATGATCACTACGATGACATTTGAGGTAAATATTATGATTTAGTGCTTTTACATCTCCTCTGAAGTGAGCGATAAGGGGCTAAACTGTTGCTTTTGGGTTGTTTGGTGTTGGATGTTTGTGATACTGTAGTTGTGGCACATGAGATAACACTGCTAACTTGAACCAGCTCAGTCTGTAAACAGGAGCCCTAATTGTGTTGGATAAAATACATGTGTTTCTTACATAAACTACGGACCTTTGTTTTGTTTTAAATTAATGAAATGGTTCCTCGTTTGTTGATTCAACCCTATTCCATTCTTTTCAATGTGTTTGTGCACAGCCATAAATCACAACAGCAGTCGTCTGGGAGGACTCTACGAAGCTGTTGGTTTGCCAACGACAGATCTGAGAATCAAATAAAGGAAATGCAATAATAATAATAAACATATAGGAGCCATTAGTCCATAGGGGGCGGTATGACCACTGTCCATAAATGATAATAAATGTCCCAGATTATCACTGTCCTTAGACCCTCCTGCATTGACAAAAAACAACAACAACAAAAACAAACGTTAACATTGTAGGTCCAGGACTGAGGCTGTAGGTCCAGGACTGAGGCTGTAGACCCAGGACCGAGGCTGTAGACCCAGGACTGAGGCTGTAGATCCAGGACTGAGGCTGTAGATCCAGGACTGAGGCTGTAGGTCCAGGACTGAGGCTGTAGACCCAGGGCCGAGGCTGTAGACCCAGGACTGAGGCTGTAGATCCAGGACTGAGGCTGTGGAATCAGGACTGAGGCTGTAGATCCAGGACTGAGGCTGTAGACCCAGGACTGAGGCTGTGGATCCAGGACTGAGGCTGTAGATCCAGGACTGAGGCTGTAGACCCAGGACTGAGGCTGTGGAACCAGGACTGAGGCTGTAGATCCAGGACTGAGGCTGTAGACCCAGGACTGAGGCTGTGGATCCAGGACTGAGGCTGTAGATCCAGGACTGAGGCTGTAGATCCAGGACTGAGGCTGTGGAATCAGGACTGAGGCTGTAGATCCAGGACTGAGGCTGTAGACCCAGGACTGAGGCTGTGGAATCAGGACTGAGGCTGTAGATCCAGGACTGAGGCTGTAGACCCAGGACTGAGGCTGTGGATCCAGGACTGAGGCTGTAGATCCAGGACTGAGGCTGTAGACCCAGGACTGAGGCTGTGGATCCAGGACTGAGGCTGTAGATCCAGGACTGAGGCTGTAGATCCAGGACTGAGGCTGTGGAATCAGGACTGAGGCTGTAGATCCAGGACTGAGGCTGTAGATCCAGGACTGAGGCTGTAGACCCAGGACTGAGGCTGTGGAATCAGGACTGAGGCTGTAGATCCAGGACTGAGGCTGTAGACCCAGGACTGAGGCTGTGGATCCAGGACTGAGGCTGTAGATCCAGGACTGAGGCTGTAGATCCAGGACTGAGGCTGTAGACCCAGGACTGAGGCTGTAGACCCAGGACTGAGGCTGTAGATCCTGGACTGAGGCTGTGGAATCAGGACTGAGGCTGTAGATCCAGGACTGAGGCTGTAGACCCAGGACTGAGGCTGTGGATCCAGGACTGAGGCTGTAGATCCAGGACTGAGGCTGTAGACCCAGGACTGAGGCTGTAGACCCAGGACTGAGGCTGTGGAATCAGGACTGAGGCTGTAGATCCAGGACTGAGGCTGTGGATCCAGGACTGAGGCTGTAGATCCAGGACTGAGGCTGTGGATCCAGGACTGAGGCTGTAGACCCAGGACTGAGGCTGTAGATCCAGGATTGAAGACTCTCAGGCAGGGAGAGTGAGGTGCAACCCATGAGTCAAAGCCGGACAAAGAGGCCGGGTTCAGGGGTCCCATCATCACGACTGATAGATACAACTCTCATTTACTCTGTGGTGCTATATCAGGACAGAACCAAGAAAAACAATAGATTTATCATTTATTATTGTATTACAACTTTCAGCCAACCCCCTCTGTACTGGTTTTGTGATGAAGCCAGATCGGTGCCGCTTTACCAATACTTCACAAATAACTCCAGGCCAATCCGTTTTCTCTGAGGCCCTTTGTCCTGAGAGCTTTTCTGGACTCCCAGGTGTAAGGTGAGCCCGTGTCCCAGCGATGGACGGACACGCAGCTGCAACCAACGCTCTTGTCTCATAATCCTGTCTGAAAGAGTCGAAGCACTTTGCTCCATGTACACACTCCGCTCTCGTTCACAAGTTTTGGCTCACCGTCCAGTCTTCTATACTGCTCTGGTGCATTTTGTTATCCCCATAAAACACAGAGCCTCTATGGATTGGACATATAGACTGTAAATATTAACAAACGTAGTCACTCCTACTGTATCTCCGCCGTTCTAACTAATGTGCCATAACTTCCGCGGTCTATGGGCAGTTTCAAAATGGCTGCGGGGGCTGGAAAAAGTGAAAAAACGCATCTGCGCATGCGTAAGCCGGCATGAGCCCGATTCATTTAAACGAGTGACTTCAAAAATTCACAGCGACTAAACTAGACTGGTCCAAAAAATTCCACGGCCCTCAGCATTGACACACATGTGGAACGGAGCTTTGGGCCAAGAGCCAACTTTTGGACCATCCTGTAAAGACGTTTTTGAGAGGTCTGCCAACGCTATATGTTAGCATCGGCTAATTCTTATTCCGGGTCCACCCCCATCGGCCCGGGGTGGTGTTGCAAGCAGGTCAGCGCACGTCATTTTGGCCCCACCCCCACTGATGGGACATTAAGATGGTGAGAAATCTTGGGATAGCACTGAAAAAAAAACTATACATGTCATTAATACTAAATATGATCAAAAAAAACTACTGATTGTTACTCTTATCACGTCTAAACAACAATACTGTAAACCAGGGGTCTCCAACCTGTAGCTCAGGAGCCACCAGTAGCTCGCCACCCCCTTCCAGGTAACTCACCAAAGGATTTAGAAAAGAACAAATCAAATAATATACTTAATATTTCAGATTGTATTATTCATTATCCTTATTTATGAATGTAAATACACTGACTTTGTAGCACTGATAACACATAGGCAATGATAAATAATCACTGTACCCAATATCAGGCTCGATCACACCAATATATCACAATTTTCTTTCCTAGGGCGGCTTAAAGGAGTAGCTCTCTGCCTTTGTCCTCCCGTAAAGGTAGCTCTCTGGGTGAAAAAGGTTGGAGACACCTGCTGTGTACTAATACTTGGAATCTACCCACTCAGGGACGACTGAAGCTCTATCTTATCTCACTGTAGTAAAGTATAGTTAGCTGTATTGCTAATTCAATGAAGAGCTATTCAGCAAAAATAGGTATTTCTGTCCTGAAAATGTGTCAAATTAGCCCTGTTTCCACCACCAGCCCCACTTGGCCCTACTCCACCCTACTCGGCTCTACTCTACCTGGATGCCTTTCCATTATGCATTATTACCTACCTAGCCTGGCCTCAGCTGTCCGCTATCTCCGGTCAATTTTTACTTCCCTACATGTACAAAATGAAATGAGTACGATGGTGTAGTAAGACCAGGCTAATATACCCACAACGAACCAGAATCTTGGGTAATTCCTCAGTAATCGTGGGGGTGGGGGTGATCAGTAACCAATCACTGTCAGTACCAGCTCAGCCTGGATAGAAACAGGGCCAAACAGGTACTAAAATAAGTATCTGGTACTGGTTAAACAGGTGGAGAAGAGTAGAGCCAAGTAGAGCCAAGTAGACCCAAGTAGAGCTGGTGGAAACAAGGCTTAAGTTGTAAATTTCCCCAGTATGAGATCTATAAAGTCTATCTTATCTCATTCTTCCAACTAAACAAGTACTGGTTAAACAGGGCAGAGGTGAGAAGAACCAAGTAGGGCCAAGTAGAACCAAGTAGGGCCAAGTAGAACCAAGTAGGGCCAAGTAGAGCCAAGTAGAGCCAAGTAGGGCCAAGTAGAACCAAGTAGGGCCAAGTAGAACAAAGTAGGGCCAAGTAGAACCAAGTAGGGCCAATTAGAACCAAGAAGAGCCAAGTAGAACCACATAGAACCAAGTAGAGCTGGTGGAAACAAGGCTCAGTTATATACTTCAAATCTTCAAACATTTTATCTTGACAATTGGAGAACAGGTTAAACAGGTGGAGAAGAGTAGAGCCAAGTAGACCCAAGTAAACCCAAGTAGAGCTGGTGGAAACAAGGCTTAAGTTGTAAATTTCCCCAGTATGAGATCTATAAAGTCTATCTTATCTCATTCTTCCAACTAAACAAGTACTGGTTAAACAGGGCAGAGGTGAGAAGAACCAAGTAGGGCCAAGTAGAACCAAGTAGGGCCAAGTAGAACCAAGTAGGGCCAAGTAGAACCAAGTAGAACCAAGTAGGGCCAAGTAGAACCAAGTAGAGCCAAGTAGAACGTAGTAGAGCCAAGTAGAGCCAAGTAGGGCCAAGTAGAGCCAAGTAGAGCCAAGTAGAACCAAGTAGGGCCAAGCAGAGCCAATTAGGGCCAAGTAGAACCAAGTAGAGCCAAGTAGAACCAAGTAGGGCCAAGTAGAGCCAAGTAGAACCAAGTAGAGCCAAGTAGTGCCAAGTAGTGCCAAGTAGAGCCAAGTTGAACCAAGTAGAGCCAAGTAGAGCCAAGTAGAACCAAGTAGAGCTGGTGGAAACAAGGCTTAAGTTGTATACTTCAAATCTTCAAACATTTTATCTTGACAATTGGAGCAGGAGGTATTAGTTTATTTGTGTAGCACTAAAATAGAACTAGATTTTCAACCAACTTCTTTGTGAAGGACTTTTCAAATGGCTCTAATATAATGACACGTTTCTGTTTTTGCATTTATGACCGGTCTCTCTCATGCCTCGGACCTCAGAGACTAAAATGTTCTTCCAATGTATTTATTACATGTTTATTTGAAAGGGACAGAACAAAAAGCATTGTAACAGAACCCAATGCCATGTTCATAGACCTTAAAACTAAGTCCAGACCTGGTCCCTGAGTCTGGATCACTCTTAAATGTGACGACTATCAGATGACCCAAACCCAGGTCTGTGGAGAGGGGCGGGTCCCACCTGGGTCCCCCCCTCCCCAGGCACGTAACAGCCAGGCTCAGGTGACTGCTGCAGCCCGAGCTCCTGGATCCTCACAGTCCAGGTCTCAGTCCCGTGTGAAGGCGCGGAGCCTTGGGTGAGTGTGGACCATGGTCTGATCCAGAGGCGCGCCATGAACGCCACATGGCACGTGCTGACGCTTGTGTGTGTTCTGAGCTGTGCCGAGCCGCGCTGCTCCTCCACCTCCTTCTACAAGAACTGCTGGATCCGCCGCTTCCCCGGGGTTTGCATCGACCTAGAGGAGTCTCTGCGGCGAGGGGCGCACCTGCTGACGGCGTACCCGGAGGACACGGCGCTCAAGTGCAGCCGCTCCTGCTGCCTCACCCGCAACTGTAAGACACGGCATGTTAACGGGACTCCCAGAGCAGTCTATTTGACGGGTTTTAGTTTTGGAAGCGTAATACTCTCTGCACATGTACATTTTTGCTCTTACTCCATAACTTTTGATGAAGTATGCATGTTCTCCCTGTGTCTGCGTAGGTTTTCATAACTTTTGACGGAGTTTGCATGTTCTCCCTGTGTCTGCGTAGGTTTTCTCCAAGTGCTCCGATTTCCCCTACCAATAAAAACATGCAGAATAGGCCTTTTCTGTTTCTGTTTCTATATGTAGTTTATTTCTGTGTCGTTTCCTTTTATCCATCCATCCATTTTCTACCCTTTAATCCATTTCTGGGTCAGGGGGGTGGCAATCAGAGATGCCACCCAAGTCTCATAGCACCAGCCCCTCACTGACCCTCTGCAGGTGGTGAGTCCACAGGAGGACGGCTGCTCTCTGAGTGTGAGCATAGCCTTGATCTTTCAGTGGGGGCTTTGGGCAAAATGGGGTTAAGTGTCTTGCCCAAGGACACAACGACAGCAGTCATCAGTGGGAGTCGGTGGAGAAGGTGCAGAGGTGGGAATTGAACCCACAACCTTCTGGCCTTAAGGCCAATGCTCTACCAACTGAGCTACTGTCGCCCCGTTTCCTTTTATATGTATATCTAAAATGCAATTTCTACCTTTTTTTACTTCCTTTTATTCCCTGGTTACAAACTTACATGTAATAAATGATACAATACAGTAACCATACTATAACGTAAACAAAACCTTAGACTCATCTCTCATTCACGCCATGACATCACTAACCATAAAATCAACACACACATTTCAGACTACACAGTAACACACTCTCACATATTTACATTATACAGAAGTTGTTCAAATCGACATAATACATCATTTCTTCTTTTGCTCCAAAGTCACTTTTTAAGTTCTGTTTGACTTTTCAATGTTAATGTCAATTTTATTTGTATTGCACATTTACAAAACCAGCTGCCCAAAGTGCGTCAAAATAAAATAAAACCGCGTAAAAACACACACATTAAACAGTAAAATGGTAACACTCAATAATATTGGTGATAAAAGCCGAGGCGTAAAAATGTCGTTAAAAAAAGTGTCGATTTCAGGTTTGTAGAGATCTTGAAGAATTCCTTCATTGCTCGATAAGAACAGACCTGGACTGGACTGATCCTGAACTGGACTGGGACTGGTTCTGGTTCAGAGCTGTGTCTTCTTGGTTTCCCACCAGAGAAGAGAGAGAGTGTTGGTTACCATAGCAACACACTGTTTACTTTGGTCTTGGCATTACCAGTTCAATAATAAGCAGTTTTAACACTTAGTGAAAGTGAAAACCTTATACATTTCACAAGTTAAAAAAAACAGGATTTTAGGATTTTTGTCTAAATTCTGTTGTGAGTGGGAGTGCTCTGGGAGTTCTGGTCGTTTCAGAATTCTGGAAGTCAGAGTGTGTTAACTATATATGTTTTTTTTTCTTTTTGAAGTTTCTTGTAATTTGGCTGTTTTTCATTACGACACAACTCAAGAGAGCGTGAACTGTTTCCACCTGCACTGTCCCAGTCTGGAGAGCTGCATCCTGAACCACCGGCAAAATGTGGTCCTCTACAACATCACCGACGGTACGGCACACACACACACACACACATATCCACGTACACACACACACACACACACACATAACCACGTACACACACACACACACACACACATAACCACGTACACACACACACACATAACCACGTACACACACACACACACACATATCCACGTACACACACACACACACACATATCCACGTACACACACACACACACATATCCACGTACACACACACACACACACACATATCCACGTACACACACACACACACACACACATATCCACGTACACACACACACATACACATATCCACGTACACACACATATCCACGTACACACACACACATAACCACGTACACACACACACATACACATATCCACGTACACACACACATATCCACGTACACACACACACATCGACGTATACACACACACACATATCCACGTACACACACACACACACACATATCCACGTACACACACATATCCACGTACACACACACATACACATATCCACGTGCACACACACACACACACATACACATATCCACGTACACACATACATGCACACATACACGTTTTTGTTACCTGGTGGGTCCCTTTGACAGGGCCGTTCAGAATGGGACCCATAGACATAATCTTTTTTTACTGGGACTACTTTAAGTAATACAAAACAGTCAATAGAAACCAAACAACTATTTTAAAGGAATTTTATTTTAGATTTTTTTTTCGAATTGCAGTGATTCTATTTTTGACATAGAATTTAATGCCACTCCATGTCCGATGTCTAAGGTCATCTGGTGAGGCATTAATGCAGGCCAGGCAGTGAGACTTCCCAGGGACCTTTCCAGTCTGTATGAAAGGTGTCATGGTCTTCTCCACAGCCTTCACCTCAGATGCAGACCATGGCTTTCTTACACGTTCTAGGGAGAGAAATAAAAATATATTAGCAATATACACTCCCAGGGTTAGGACCAAGCAGCCTGGCTGTAATCCCCCACCTGGTACACTTACCAGAAGGGGCACTGCCACTACCATGGGGTGCATCTGGATGAATGGTTGAAGGTTCTTCGCTTGAAGTTTCTTTTAGCCCGTCCGTTTGTGAGACGATCTCTACTGCTCTCCCTGTCGCACAGAAAATAAAAATACAAGTGGCCTTTAGGGGAAAAAAATCATACATATTTTAATAATATCAAGAATTACCTTCAGGCTCAATTTGTATCTGGTCGAGGCTCTTTCCTTCGAATTCCGTCACTCTTCCCTGCTCCATGGCCATCAACACTTTGCTGATTTTGGCCAGCTCCAGTGTCCCCTCTGGTAGTCTGTAATATTGCCTGTGGATGCGAATGTCATGGCCGAGGAAGTTGGCAAGTATGTCCATCTCATTCTCTTTCATATTGAGAACTGTAGACATAGTAGCTATGTGCTTTCTAAGTTTGGTTGAGGATAGCATCTCTGGATGCACCGCACCACATTCTTTGGATACCTGGCGTAGGGAGTCTGATCCCCTGATGTGGGTGTCTGCGCCCGGGCGGGAAAAGAAGTATGGGTTATGGTCAGAGATGGAACAGGCCCTTCTGTTCTCCACCAGCACCTCCATCGAAGCAATCATTTCAGGAGTCAAAAGAACCGGCACTTTCCGACTTCTTTTCCCTTTAATTTCAATGCGTTGAAAATGCTGACACAGCTTTTTCTCAAGTTGGGACAGTCCCAGAGCAATGTCAGAATGGATCCCAGTCTTACTTCTTAAGGTAAAGGCTGTCAGTGGCATCTTTGAAACCTCACCTTCCCTTCTTCGATTGAAAATGATGACCTCACAAAGAGTCAAAACTGCCAGTTTAGACCAATGCTTAGACGTTGGCTCACTTATTAGGGTTTGCACATATTCAGGTCGACATACCTCAATATGTGCATGCATGGCTCTAACGTCCTCAGTCAGAGGGAGCAGGTCCGGAGTGTTCCACTTGGCTTGCCGGAGGGTCTGTAGGGCAGCAGAAGAAACACAGACGTCCCACCTCTTCTCAAAAAGCAGCCGGCTTCGTTGGAGGTTTTTAATAAATAGTTCATCAACACAATGCTCCATTTTTGAGTCACATTCAAGAATATCTGCTAGCTTTCTGAGGCTATGGCCGAGTTTGAGGGCCAAGGATGGAGTCTTGTATTGATTTGTTTCCTCATCATATCCAGCCACAGACCTGACTGCATCAATCACACATGGTTAAAGTTGGAAGGAATAAAGAAATCCTTAATTGTTTTCAGTTTCCCTGCAGTTTTTGCTTCGTTAATTAACCTACCGACTTCTCTCATTTTCTGCCTAATGTAATCATGCTTAGTCTTATCATGCCCGTGTTTTAAGTACAGGTGCTCTCCGAGTCTCAGAATCCCCTTTTCTGCTTTGACAACACCCGTGACCTCATCCTGATGCATTGCCCAAATTAAAGACCACAGCTTTTTGCTGATGCCCTCCGGTACAGGCTGGGCTAGGGAGCAGAGGGACTGGACCCTACTTCTACCTGGTTTAGCCTGGTTTAGCCTGGGCATCTTTCTGTGAAAGCCGGCACCTGGCCACATGCCTCCACAGCGACTTTCGCTTAAGCAATGCCCCACAGTCTATACAGTGCAAAAACTCACTGGATTTAACTGGGCAATTTGGCTGTTTAGCTGGGACTAAAGTTCCAATGCCGGCCTTTAAAACCTCAAAATTGTGCTCACGGTTTCCACTATTCCTGATCAAATCAAACTGAAGTTTACGTGCTTTAGATTTCACAGGTAGAGCCAATGCTCTGGCTACGTCACTTTCATTTCCATGTTTTCTAGTCAAATGACGGGACATTTTGTGGCAGGACATTGAACAGTAGAGGCAGAAGTGTCTCTTGCTGTAAACTCGCCCCCCATTTTTCTTCTTTTGCAGCTGCATGATAACAATCTTATTTGCCTTTGGTGCGTCACTTTCCGAGTCTTGAAGAAAAGTGTTTTTGATTTTTCTTTTTCCATACTTTTTTACAGGTTTCTTCTTGACAGGTTTGTGTAAGCCCTCAGTCGTACAGGGATTAGTCAAAGCAAAGGAAGGTTTCTCACCCATCATCTGTACTTCTTGCTAAGAAGTACAGATGATGGGTGAGAAACCTTCCTTTGCTTTCTTCTTGACAGTTAAATCGTCAGAATCTGAGTCGACTTCATCAATTAGGGACTCTTGACTAAGCTGCACAAACAACAAATAATTTGTAATCATTCTATATAACAATTTGAAGTCATGACTTGTAGTCAGCACTTACCAGTGGTTTGTAAGCGTGCGCTTCAGTGTGCTCCTCCATGATTTCTTGCAGCCTAATGAACCACACACTTGCACCTTTTCTAGCCTGACACCTGATTTCCTCTGTTGTGCTGCTCCATGATTGGCTCCAGCCTCTGTTGTGCTGCTCCATGATTGGCTCCAGCCTCTGTTGTGCTGCTCCATGATTGGCTCCAGCCTCTGTTGTGCTGCTCCATGATTGGCTCCAGCCTGCTGGACTGAAATTGCCCCAGTGTGCCCCTCCTTGATATCCCGCAACCCACCACCAGGGGTCCTTTCCATATTTTTACAGAGACTGCATAAGGACCGTTAGAAAAGCATTACCCATTGATTATTAAGCTTGGACCAGTGGGGTCCGGTGTTCGGGCCCCACCACGTAAAACCAGTCCCCATGACGTGAGTGGAATCTCAGGTTATGGAATCCACCAGGAGTTGAAAACAAGTGCACACGTACACACACACACACACACACACACACACCTACACATATCCACGTACACGTACACACACACACGTACACACACACACAGACTATTCAGCTTCATCAACACATCAGAAAAAGACTGTCATATTATTCTTGTAAAAATATAGTAAGTAACATGAGATAAACTTTATTGATCTCACCATGGAGAAATGCACAATGTCAGGTCTGGTTAAGTGAAGTGGCTTGTTACTTAAGAGTTTGGAACCCCCTGCGATTACTCAAAGTGATAATATATATTTAAATTGTGTTGTTAAAGTAGCAATATCTAAGATTTTATTAAAACATGCTTTTTTTTGAGTTTTACAGCCCCTAAATCTTGTTTTTGTTTCATTTTGTTGTCCCGCCCTCCACCGTTTCACCAATCAGAAAGTCTGTGTTTCGGGGTTGCCAGAACTCACCACGTCAAGCTAATCTCACTGGTAAAGTAACAGTGACGCAGAACTAAAAAAGGTCTCGTTATGATTCTCAAATCATTAACGACAAAACGAGGAATAAAACCAGGATTTGTGAAAAAGGTGTTGGTTATAGATTTGGTGTTGGCTAAACTCTTTACTCAGATATTATAGTCCCAGCTGGATTTGTCTGCATATCTGGCAACCTGAGTCAGGGAGAGTGCAGTACAGCTTGTGGCCAGATTTGTACATACTGCTCCTTTAAGATTGTACTGACGTTGTGTTCGCTGCAGGTGTGGATCCGGACCTGTTGGTGTTCGGTAAATACTTCAACACAAATGTGCGTGTGTTGCCGCAGCACTACAGCCGCTCCAACGCCTCGGACCCTCTGCCCCCGGACAAGAGGCAGTTCATCCACCCGTACCCCCGGCCGCGCCCCGCTCCCCGGCCCATCCCCAGAACCACGGCCCCAGCGTTCACCAGGCCAGAACCAACCCACACGGTAACAATCACCAAGCACGTCACATTTGGTCGAGAAACTACAGCTGCAGCTACTTCTGGAGTCAAAACATCCAGTATTGCAGCGAGAAAAGAGTCTCCAAAGAGCGAGACTAAATATTCAGACATGGCAACCGCTACTCCACTGGAAACGCCACTTTATACCTCCACTATTCCCCCGCGTACAACCCCTACCCCCACGTTTAAAACACAACTCTCGACGTCCCAGTCTGAAAAATCTGCTCATACGACGCTCCCCACTCCGCTTTCGTCCGATACGTCGTCACAAACCCACAACGACTCCAGCACCAGTGCAGAAAGCAGCGAAGCTAAAGCTAACGACACCAAATGGAGTCAGGGGAGAAATCACAGCGTGGTCAGCGAGGACGGCCAGGGCCAGGGGGGCGACCCGTGGGGCGAGCTGGGGCCTGGTTGGCACGTGGCCACCCACACGGCGCTGGTGGTGGTGGCCATCTGTGTGACTCTGCTGCTGGGCTGCTGCTGCTCGCTGGTCCTGGTGTTCGGCTGGAGGGGACACAGGAAGAGGATGGGCCACTACCGGACCACCTGGAGGGGCAAGAAGGGGTCCATGCGGCTGGTTAAGTACGTCCTGGTGAAGGAGAACTCATGATGGTTTTGTGGGGTATGAACAAGGGACGTTTCCGATAAGTTATTACTGTAGTATATTTAAAGGAACAATGTGTAAAAATCTGGCCAAAAGTGGTACTGCAGTCACAGTCAATATTGTGTAGTCCTCTCCCACTCTCCCTGACTCAGGTTGCCAGATTCACACCAAATCCAGCAGCAAACACAGGGAATTATTTTATCAGTTGTTTGTCCGTCTCCATTCACATTGCCATGACAGCCGTGCTAATGCTGAATGAATGTTTTGATTAATGTTTTTTTATTATTATTATTTGGACATTTGAGATAAAAAACAAAAACAAAATAAAAGCAATGTAATTATACATAGTTTATGCAAAATAAATAAGCAATTGATGTCCAAAATAGGAGTGGGAAGAATGGATGTTGGAACGTATTTCTTCATCGTATCAACATCAGGGTTTGCTCAAGAGGATATCACCTTTCAATTTTATTTTCTCCCTATTTTTTAGACATACATGTAAAAGTTCCACATCAAAAAGAGACTAACATTATTTTAATTGGGGTACATGTGGTCTTAAATGATTATTTTTACAATTAAGCTATAATCTGCAAAAAAACGTCTTGACCACTCATCTTTTACCGTTTTTAGAGCAATCTGTCATAGAATGTGATAACATGCAATAAATACAAAAAGACATAGCCTGGGATTGAACCCGGGTTCCTGCATCGTAAACGCACAGTTTAGACCACTAGACCACCGATTCACACGAACAGAGACACTGTAAAGAACGCAATCAAACTAGAAAATTCTGCATCACACGTGAACTTTTATCAGCTGTCTCAATTGTTCAAAGGCATCCCGATATAAATCCTCGTTTTAGTCTTTGTTTTGTCATTAATGATTTGAGAGTCATAACAAGACCTTTTTTAGTTCTGCGCCACATGTTATTTTACCACTGAGATTAATGAGCCGCGCGGAGTTCTGGCAACCCGATCACGGACTTACATGACACTTCCTGATCGGCGAAACGGCGGAGGGTAGGACATCAAAATCAAAACAACAAACAACTTTTACGGGTCGTAAAACTAATTTTGATAATCAAATATCTCGGCTGAACTACTGTTATCAGTTAAAGATGAATTCGAAAAGAGTATGATTTAATAACGCCTTTTGAAATATTCGGGTCATTTAATGATGACTTGACATGCAAATATTACATATTGCTCCTTTAAGTTGTTCTCGTTCTGAAATGATATTGGCAGTTTGAAACAATGCTAATATAGACTATAATTAGATTGACAATGCTAACATAGACTGTATACAGATGGACTGTGCTAACATAAACTGTCTATAAATGGACAATGCTAACCTGTTAGCTCAATGAAGCCCAATAGGGAAGTTAAAGTCAACTCCTCTAGCTTTGTAATTGTTTGTTTCACACTCGCCATTTTTGGGCTCTAAAACTGTGGATTAGCGCTCTCTGTGATCCTGGTCCAATATTGTACAATTGTCTATGTCAATCCAAATAGGAAACTCCAGCTTGCCTTGTCTGTTATGGCGTGAAGCTAACGCTGCGGAAGAAATGTGTTTTAAGACATGATTTAATGAGGAGGTGTTTTAAGACTATAAAACACCTCGTCATTAAATCATGTTGGGTCCAGTTAAAACAGTCTCTTAACGGCTTTGTGTTGGTTCAGTGCTACATTACAACATAAACTTTAGTGAGGCCTATATGTGAACAAAATATACTTTTTCTAAAAATTACCTAGTGTGCTTTATCAGAATCAGAATCATGTTTATTGCCATGTAAGTAACAGGAAGTCACAGACTAGGAAATTGCTTTGGCTCGGTGCAACAGTCAAGGAAGAGAGGAAGAGCATAGTGTAAGGCATACTCAAAATCAGCAACACTTCGAAGGTATAAAAATTTAAATTATTACAATTTACTATTTACAATATACAGTGTACTTGGTGCACACTATTTGGAGTAGCAGTGCAGTGCTGTAGTACAGTAAGGTGACAGCAAGTACTGTAGTTAAAATGTCTGTTTAAACAAAGGAAGCTGCTGATTTGCATAGAGATCATTATAATGTTGTATCTTTATGGTCCAGAATCATCTACACTTTTGTCAGTCCATGTTTGTGTCCCGCCTGACACAAGAAACCTCCAGAAAGCCGATCCATCCATTTGGCGGAGCTACATTTTGATGCACCTCAGTGAGTTTTGAGTGATGTCGAAGCCAAAGACGGGTGGACTTTGGCCTGCTCTGGTCTAAAGTGGGTCTTAATGGGCGGCCCCCAACCAGAAACTGCACCGCGGCCTCAGCAGAATGATCCTGTCTTTAGCCTTTTGATGGTCAGTCTAATGCTGTCTGCAACCTCCTCAGTTTCTGAAGACGAGCCAAGAGATCACAGACCAGAACAAACATTGCGTTCTGGGCGTAAAATCGGTCCGTTTTCAGGCGAAGAGACCGTTTCACAAAGAAGTTTTAAAGCAATGTCATTGACTGTTTTTTTTTTGTGTGACAAGTGAGCTGTCAATCACAGCCCAGACCACGCCCAACTCTAAGCCCCCCTTCTTGTCCCTTGGTCCTCCAGGCAACGCCCTGTTTAGAGAACATTTTCAAATGTTCATTTGGGCAGAGTCAGGCTGGTCACAGGTTTAGTCGCTCTTTAAAGAGATAGTAAAAACGACAATTGACAATATGTATGGACAATAAAAGATTTAAAAAATTGTACATCTTCAATAGTGTCCACTGCTTAAAAACAAGACATGACTTAATAAAGTGATTTTATTAATTTATTAACAATTCTTTACAGTTGGAGTACTTTCTGGACGGCCTCTTTGTAAAGTTGTAACGTCTCGTCGTTATCTCCTTCGTTTTTCAACCTGGTCACAGAGTCCTTGTACTCCTGCACCTCAGCTCGACCCAGCAGCCGATGGTGCTCTCCCTCTCCTCCCTCTCCTCCCTCACCTCCCTCTCCTCCCTCCATCTTCATGTGCCTCAAAGTCTCCAGGAGGTTTCTCTGCGAGGGACTGTTCTCCCAGCTGTACAGAGACGCTCCTCTCACAGAGATAGGGTTTCTCAACATGCGTGCGTCAAAGTGCGTCCAGAACAATGGGGCCGTTGTGCAGGAGATTAAAGCCGCTCGGCATCGCTGCTGTCCAGGTGTAGAAGTTTAATGACTCATTACTGCTATACATTACACAGCTACTCTACCTCTGCTGGGCCAAGAGAGGAGAGACCAGGCAGAGGAGAGAGGCCAGGCAGAGGAGAGACCAGTCAGAGGAGAGAGGCCAGCCAGGGGAGAGAGACCAGCCAGAGGAGAGAGGCCAGCCAGAGGAGAGAGGCCAGCCAGAGGAGAGACCAGTCAGAGGAGAGACCAGGCAGAGGAGAGACCAGTCAGAGGAGAGAGGCCAGCCAGGAGAGAGAGACCAGCCAGAGGAGAGACCAGGCAGAGGAGAGACCAGTCAGAGGAGAGACCAGGCAGAGGAGAGACCAGTCAGAGGAGAGAGACCAGTCAGAGGAGAGAGAACAGTCAGAGGAGAGTCGAAAAATAAACTTTAAATAACTACTATTGAATTTGTCCATAAAATCCAACATCAGCTGAGAGCGCCTCTGGTGGCTGACCTTTGCTATAGCACAGAGCAGGTAGAGTGCTACAGATATGATCACCTCCAGCTCCAACACAATTGTCCTTTTGTGAACTAACGTTACAATCTGAACGTGACGCCGCTCTTGCCCCATCCCTCGGGCTCATGCTGGTCCAGCACTGGGCACCCATTGTGAGTCCGAAAGGGCAGTGACCTCATCAGCTCCAACACCTTTCACCAGGAGAGGTTTCCATGGCTGGAAGCGACAAAACAGCGGCCATTGTACAATACACACCTGACCCATAGGCTGTACATTAGAGTGTGACATCACCATTGTGTTAGCCTAAAGCTGGGTTCACACCAAACGCGTCCAACAGCGTCGGGGTTTACATTGAAAATACATGGGGGACGCGCTTCTAGGAGCGTCAAGAGATCCTGCGGCGCGTCTCGCGCCTCCCAAGCAGCGCGTCTTTGAGCGCTTCGCGCTTCTGGCGCTGCGCATTTTGAGATTTCGAGCGTTTTGACGCGCGAGACGAGCCTTTTTGGGAGAAGACGCGAGCATCAACCAATCAGGAGCTTTCTCCAACAGTAACGCCTTTCACGACAGGACCGAGGAGACAGGGAAACAACACATCAGCTGGAGGACTAGCTGTGCTCGTTAGCCCCGCGGACTATAACCACCGTGACATGGAGGAGGGTTAGCGAGCAGGTTAGTGTCTCTGGTCAGTTATTTAAACTTTTCACAATCGTTAATACTTCCCCGCGCAAAATCAATGTCATCTTTAGGGAGAAACAAACCCACAGATTATATATTAAAGCTACACAGAGGAGACAGTCCATGGAGACAGCAGCTATAGTATGCTAACACTTGTTATCTGTATTCATATAAAATTGATTGTGTGAACCTTTCCATCCATTGGTTCGAGAAAAGGTTCATTTCTTGATGCTTCATGTGCTCACAAACCTCCTGTTGGTCAAAATCTGTATTGACATTTGAACTGTTTGTGAGGCTCTTGGTGAACAGGAATTAATACTGGTAACAGAAATAAAAATGTAATTTGATAGTGTTTGAGATTCGTGCCCTGCGCCCCTACCAACAGAGCCATCCAGCTGCATATTTAGTTGTATTCAATCACTCGCAAACTTAATCACCAAGACAAACCCACAAAGTTTGGGCGGATCCACTGCGGGGAGAATCTACCCCCGGGACAGAGCCTCGAAAACCGGGCTTGGACTGGCCCCGCCTGGCCTGGAAGACTGTAAAGATTTCAAAATAATTCTAAGTGTTGTTCCCACTGTCAGGATTCAGCAGACAGAGACGGATCGTGGTGCGCCAAACTCTGGAAGTTTATTTAAGTTTCTCTCAAGTTCCACTGGTTTACTTTGTTTCTGTGTTTTGTCACATCATAGTCATAACATGGAGTCCTTGTAGAGTCCTGCACGTAGGCCATATTGCTATCTAATACTAACACCACTTAGCGCAATGTATTACGGTGCCTGGTACTACATAAAGAATTGAACATTTTTGTAAGTCTTTTTCACACTTCGAGGATACAAGCCTCGAAATCCTGGCTTGTATCGAGTTGGTAAAGTACATTTCAGACGACAAGCATGTCCCAGATCATATAAAGCAGTGTCCTCGTTGAACAGCTGACAGCAGTTATTCTTCCATCAGTTTTATGATGGTTCTTTGGCTCTCACTCCAACGCTGCCGAGTTTGCAGATAAGAAACGTCGTCACAAATGTGTAAGTGATGCTTCCAGACGTTCATCAGGACCAGAGCAGGACAGGACTAAACAGTGATGTCTCTGTTGTTGAACGAGGCCTTCTTTAAATACATTCCATGGACAATATCAGCCAAAGACACTCACTTTCAAATGTGCCTCTCAGTGTGACTGTAGTCCTGCAGCACAGCAGCCAGCAGGGGGCGCCATACTACTTCATAAATGTGGAGCTGAGGTATTAGAATCCTGTGTGTGATGATTCCAACATGTTCATATATCAGCCGTAAAACCACCCTTTTATGTTGCTCAAACTGTGTGTGTGCTTTTCTACAAGAGAAACATCACAATATATGAATGATGTCACACAACAGCGGCTACACAACTGTACACACGTTTATTCACAAACAACTCATAAAGCATAAGACTGTGATAAACAATGATTGACAGGTCTGAATGAAACACACAACACTGAAGCCCCGTGACGCTCTATACATATATATATGTCGACATTGATGGTGTGAGAAAGGACTTTAAGACACACACTTTATACTAGTCCTTCACTACAGTAGAATGTATAATAACACACATACACACACACAGCAGAAACTCAGAGCGTGTGACTGATGACCTTAAAGACACTGAATGTTAAGTGCAGCTTTTTAATAACTGTTCCTCTTTGATATTTCTTTTAGGTTAAGTTTATGATCAAGGTGAAATATTCATTACTGCTGTGATTCTTACCTATGACCTAATTCAGTAGGTCTGTTAGCAAAAGCCAAACAATATTTTGGATCGTATCTGCAAAAATATATTTAAGAATATCGGAATCGGATTACAAAAAATCTGAACCTCCATCCATCCATCCACCCTTTAATCCATTTGAGCTACTGTCACCCTAAAAAAATCTGGACCTAGTTCAGAATAATAATGTCCCCGCTCTGTCTCCTCCTTCATCACGTCAGTTTGAATTAGGGATGTTCGATATTGGCTTTTTTGCCGATATTGTCCAACTCTCAATTTTCGATTCCGATATAAACCGATACCATTATGTGGGTTATTATTCCTCAAAAGTAATTTAGGTAACATCACATTTCTGCTGTTGTGGAATTAACAGTGTAACGCCCACATAGGTCCATATGTTTGCTCAGGAGGTGAAATGTTTTGAAATGTTTTATTTAACAACCATCATGTTCTGTGTCATTTACATATGTTGTCAATTAGTTTGATAAAATTGTCTTGATGGCGTTTTGAGGGACTCTAGTTGAGAATGTCGGGCACGGGACGCTTGGTCTGACGTCAGATGCCGACTTGGAGCAGCTTTACCTGGAGGACTATCTATTTCATCTATTATTTATTATCTAATCTATTTTTGTTTGTTACTTCTATTTATATATTTTTTGTTTCTTTCTTCAACTTACCTTCATTTTGCACTGCTTTATGGATTACTTTTTCTACTCAACCGAATATGCCTTGACAAGATATGAACTGTGTTGTGCCTTAATGTTTGTAAATGTTCAATAAAGTTTTATTTAAAAAACAAAGTTTAGGTGGACCATGGTGGACCCAAGCCCCGGCGATCCAAGATGGCGCCCTGTTCAAATGAATGGTTGTGCTCAGTGGCGCTTTGTGACGGCATGGGGGCAGAAAGATTAGCGGAAGTCGCCTGGAACTCGCAAAGATCTATGGGAAACTCGCCTGTATTTGGGCATCGTCTGGTCCTCCCGGTTCTGTGCAGTGGATGATCTCCCATAATGCGTTGCGCCAAACACGCGTGTCTGGGTCTCACACCAGGTCTCATGCACGTGCACAGAGGGGCTCGGCCGCGCTCTGACCAATCAGAGCAGTTCATCAGAGCGGGAGTTAGAGCCAGAGCCAGACGAGCAGAGTTTGTGGCACTAAAGTGTGGATTTAAACAAAAGCGAAGGATTTAAGAAGAAAAAAAGTTCAGGATGACAAGGGACACTAAAATCCCCACAAAATCCGATCTTTATGAAAGCTGTAGGTTCTCTTTCAGCTGAGGTTGAGCTGTTTTAATATGCATTGAGTTCTATGGGGAAAATTTCTGGGTAGCCCACGTGAATTTAGTCTGGTTCAGTCTGCAGTACCGCGAGAATCCCCTGAGCACATGGGTTATTCAGCTACAAGCTAGTAATACCCTATCCAGTTAATATAATACATCCATGGGTGGACCCGACCGTGGTGCATACGCAGGGGCCGTGAGTAGACCCGTAGCTTCACCGCTGACACTGACCTTTTTTGTTTTCAAACATTGAGAGCACGGAGCACTTTGATCACAGGGACCACTGTTGTTAGTGTAGCGTCCAGTTGTGTGTGTACAGAACTGATGGTTAAAATGAAGTTTATTTTGTCCTTCCATATATTCATATAACCAACGTAAGAGCTAGAACAGAAATGAAAATCAACTTACAATCATGTCCAAATACTATCTAGCATCAAATACATTGTTAACCGTTACATTACTTTTGCTATTTAATTTTACACATTTAAAGAAACTTTACAATTGTTACACAGACATAATCAATCCATACCTTGTTCCCTCTATCTCAACTGTATCTAAACTTTGTCTTTTATGTCTTTAGTGCAGTTTAGACCGTTTGTCTAGACCAGCTGTGTGAAACGCAGTGTTGTGCCAGTTCACAGCTTTTCTAAACTAGTTCAAGTTCAGTTCATACATGCTCAAAGTGAACAGTTCACGTTCAAAGTTCACATGTTTAATTCTGAACTAGTTCAAAGTTTAGTTCATTTTACTTTTT